ATCTGGCATATCTTCTGGCATTCTATCTGACATATCTTCTGGCATTCAATCTGGCATTCTATCTGGCATATCTTCTGGCATATATTATGACATATCTTCTGGCATTCTATCTGACATATCTTCTGGCATATATTCTGACATATCTTCTGGCATATCTTCTGGCATATCTTCTGGCATATCTTCTGGCATATCTATCTGGCATATCTTCTGGCATATTTTCTGGCATTATCTGGCAAATCTTCTGGCATATATTCTGACATATCTTCTGGCATATCTTCTGCATTTCTTCTGGCATATCTTCTGACATATCTATCTGGCATATCTTCTGGCATATTTTCTGGCATTCTATCTGGCAAATCTTCTGGCATTCTATCTGGCATTCTATCTGGCATATCTTCTGGCATATTATCTGGCATTCTATCTGGCATATCTTCTGGCATATCTTCTGGCATATCTTCTGACATTCTTTCTGAAATTCTTTCTAACTTTCTTCTGCACATTCTTTGTCCCATATCTTCCTACATGAGGTCCGGCAGGGAACACTTGGCGTGGATACTCGCGGTTGAGGTCCGGCAGGGAACACTGGGCGTGGATGGTCGTGGTTGAGGTCCAGGGAACAGGGAACAGGTCCGGCAGGAAACACTGGGCGTGGATGGTCGTGGTTGAGGTCCGGCAGGGAACACTGGGCGTGGATGGTCGTGGTTGAGGTCCGGCAGCGAACACTGTGGATCGCGGTCGCAGTTGAGCAAGGAGGACGAGGACGACGAGGACGACGAGGAGGACGAGGAGGAGGAGAGAGGAGGAGGAGGAGCAGGAGGAGGAGCAGGAGGAGGAGGCAACTGACATAAAATCTAACAACCCTCACCTGGCAGGTGGGGAACAAGAACAACAAAAACAACAAGAACAACAAGAACAACAAGAACAACAAAAACAACAAGATTAACAAGAACAACAAGAACAACAGGAAAAAACAAGAACAACAAGAACAACAAGAACAACAAAAACAACAAAAACAACAAGAACAACAAGAACAATAACAAAAACAAGAACAAAAAACAAGAACAAACACAAGCAAAAACAAGAACAACAAAGACAACAAGAACAAGAACAAAAACAAGAACAAAAACAAGAACAAAAACAAGAACAACAACCACAACCACAACCTCAAGAACAACCTCAAGAAAAACCTCAAGAACATACACAACATAGACAACATACACAACATGCACAAAACAACATACACACCAACATACCTGTATGATCAGGAATCCTAAAACTTGTAAGATCCCGAAACATCATTGAAACCAAAATATACCAAAATCATCCAAAATCACACTAAACATATTATGATAGTCACATGTTCTAGCTCTATCAACCAAAAAACTGCTCCAGCACCTCACTTTCCGAAAAGTGATCAAAGTGTCTCGTGACCTTCCGCAGCTTTTCCTCCACTTCGCCGCTGTCGCCCCCGTGCGTCGCCGCGCCCCAGGTGACCACGTGGCCCTGCGCCGTGCGCGCCGCGAAGGCGCCGTCCGTCGCCTGCAGCGCCGTGACGCCGCGGAGGCGGTCCGACAGCGCCGAGGCGTTGCCGCCGTGCGAGGGGTGGCCCCAACAGACCACAGAGCCGTCCTGATGTTTTTGTGGTTGGGTGCGATGGGAAAAATATGATTTTTTCCCCACCTGCCAGGTGAGGGTTGTTAGATTTTATTAGAGTTGTTCTTCTCCTTCTCCTTCTTCTCCTCCTCCTTCTCCTCCACCTCTGCCTCCACTTGCATATTCACTTCCGCCTTGCCAACTCTTCGCCAAGCTCTTCACCAACTTCCGCACGCAGTGGGCACTGCTGGACCTCAACTGCAAGGGTCTGAGCGCACTGGGCACCGCTGGACCTCAACCTGGGACCTTCCGAGCTCAGTGAGCACCGCTCTCAACCTGGGACCGTCCGAGCTCAGTGAGCGCCGCTGGACCTCAACCTGGGACCCTCCGAGCTCAGTGAGCACCGCTGGACCTCAACCTGGGACCCTCCGAGCTCAGTGAGCACCGCTGGACCTCAACGGCCAGATAGAATGCCAGAAGATATGCCAGATAAAGTGCCAGAATGTTTGCCAGATAGAATGCCAGAAGATATGCCAGATAGAATGCCAGAAGGTATGCCGGATAGAATGTCAGATAGAATGCCAGAAGGTATGCCAGATAAAGTGCCAGAATGTTTGCCAGATAGAACGCCAGAAGATTTGCCAGATAGAATGCCAGATAGAATGTCAGAAGATATGCCAGATAGAGTGCCAGAAGATATGCCAGAACATATTGCAGAAGATATGCCAGGTAGAATGCCAGAAGATATGCCAGATAGAATGCCAGAAGATATGCCAGATAAAATGCCGGAAGATATGCCAGATAGAATGCCAGAAGGTATGCCAGATAGAATGTCAGATAGAATGCCAGAAGGTATGCCAGATAAAGTGCCAGAATGTTTGCCAGAACATATGCCAGAAGATTTGCCAGATAAAATGCAAGAAGATATGTCAGATAGAATGCCAGAAGATTTGCCAGTAACAAAACGTATAGATGTCATGGTGGGGATAACTCGAAGTAAAGTAATTTATATTCATTATATTCCACCCCAAGATGGTTGGTTCAATTGTCTTGAACTTGTTATGATTGGGCATGCCGAGGAATATAATTGATTGGAGTTGTTGGGAAACCTTTAATGTCAAGGAATTGATCAAGTTGAACGTACTTTCCCCGAGTGAGACAAAATATGCCACAACTCTCGGAGTTGCAAGGCAATAATAGTATTATATACATGGTATTACAGTACACTGCATTTCCATCAGACTAGCAAGTGTTTGACTTGATAAATTGAAGTTTAATTAAAGCACAAACTTCCTGGATAGTGGAACATTGTGGGTGAACTGGTCCACATCACAATGTGAGAACAACACTGCTTTAAAATTCTCATATTCTGTGCATGTCTCTGTCTGTTGCATTCTGCCAGGGTTTTAGTTCCTCCGAGCATCTTTCAAAAGAGCCGCGAAGGCACTGTTCGCCGCCTGAATCCGCTGCACCTGAAACAGTTGATCCTGCACTGCGCTGCAATCCTTGGATTTGCTGATCAGGGACCTTTAAGAAACTTCACAAGGATGAAATTTACATTTATATATATATACATTACATTACATTACATTACATTACATTACATACCATAGCATAGCATACCATACCGTACCATACCATACCATACATATACATACATACATACATTACATACATACATAGTGTATATATATAATAAATAATGTACATACATACATAGTGTATATATATATATATATAAATATACAATATTTACTCATTCATACTAATTATATAATCTAATTCAATCTAATTTAATTGATATAGCGTGTACATGCGTATACACCTTGGACACATCAACTCAGAGCCAGGTCTCTCCACCATAGGAGGCTGCCCCCCAGGTGACCACCGAGCCATCTGCCACGGCTGCGAAAGCCCTGCGGGTCGCAGCGATTTGGGTCACATTCACCAGGCGATGCGTCACCCAACAGCTGTCACCACCGGCATCGGGATGACCCCAGGTGGTCACCACCTGATGGGTCCATGAAAATCTTCACTCCACCGATCAGTTGCCCTAAAATGGCCATATCTCGAAAATTCATCCATTGATTCGTGGATCAGTTTTCAAGGCCAGTTCTTTTCCCAGTTCTTTTCCCAGTTGGGAATTTCTATCCCATCCGATCCCCACCTCACCCTCACACCAGGCCGCAAAGGCTTGTGTCGTGGCCGCCACTTTGGGCAAGCGCACGTAGACCGCCGTCAAGGAGCCGCCACTTTGGAGCAGCTCTACCGGCTGCTGAGGATCGAGGGAACACCCATCCTGATGGAGAGGTTGCTCCCAAGACCCCAAAGGGGAAATTGATGGAAATTGGGTAGATGAAGAATCATCAAGTAGTAAACTGGTTGGTGGTTTCAACCCCTCTGAAAAATATTAGTCAATGGGAAGGATTATCCCATATATTATGGAAAATAAAAAATGTTTGAAACCACCAACCAGTAAAATTTCAACATGTTCCCCCAAGAACTGGCTATCATTTACCTCAAAGGGGTTGGAACAACCATAACAACCCTGCTCTCTGGGGTTGTTCAATGCGGTTGAAATCCAGGATTTGTCCCATCATCTTTGTTGGGTTTCCTGTAGATGGTCCCTTTACATAACTCTTTGTTCCGGGATGATCGCTGGCTGGGACACTGCACATGAAGATTCTTGAAGCAACAAACATGGGGGACGTACGCGGAAAAAGACGTCGTAACAAACATGGGGGATGTGAGTATTAATCAATATAACCTGCTTAAAGATACGGGATATCATTTTATAGAAAACATCAAACCATAAACAAATATGAGATATCTTTTTGTTGAATGATATTGAACCAAACAGCCAAAGAAACAGGAGGGAATTACAGAACATGGTGACTTCTTAAACAACCCAAAAAAATGCCCACATTTGGGATCTTATACATGGAGATGCAAGCCTTCTTCCACCGCATTGGATTCTGGGTCAGAAACCGCTTCACCAATGCATGTATTTGCATGACCCGGAAAGGGAAATTGAATGAAATTGACCCATAATTTTGAACTGGTTGGTGGTTGACCTACCCCTCTGAAACATATGAAAGTCAGTTGGGATGATTATTCCCAATATATGGAAACATAAAAAATGTTCCAAACCACCAACCAGATTGATACTTGCATGACCTGTAATTTTGAAGATTCGAACACTCCTGGAAATCAAATGGCACAAAAAACTGGCGCTGTACGTCGGTTTGTCTGAAACATTGCGGGCATACCCCAAAATCAGCTGGGATAGAGGAAGCCATAGAATTCGACGGCTGATTACTAATACTATTTTCAAACACGCCCTTCTTGTTGCGAATCCCAGTATCAGCAGAAAGCAGCCTCACAAATCCATCTCCAAAGGCATCCTGCAGTGATCTCATTGAGGTATTCCGTCAACCGTCCAACCGTGCCTTTCCTCGAATATTTTTTTCAGCTTTAGCATTCTATATTGTTAGCAAACAAAAACCACCGATCGAGAAAGAACATCCAGAAACAAATTACCAGCTTCGAAGAAAACAAAAAAACACAACTCCCGCGTTCCTGTGCTTTTCGCAGCACCTCTGCCACAGTCGCATCCTCCTTCACCGTGACCGTGGCACACCGGCCGCTGGGCAAATAGATCTTCAGCTCCATTGGCGATCGGCGTCAAGTTGTGGTGGGCCCGGGGCGGGCAACGGCATGGCACCCCGGGCTCAAAAGATTACCCATATACCACTGGTATGAAGAGGTGAAGAACATGCTGATCTTGGAAGTCTCTACCAAGAGTCTGGCAAAGGTCGGTTTTCATATGCTTGCATGATTTTCATGATTTCGCTTCAAGCGGAAAACAGCTAGTTGGGCTATCCCCTAACCCGTTGGACAGAAACATTGAAACACATTGAGACACAAAGGATGATGCTGCTGCACCGGGCTGTCGGCCCTGCTGCTCCTCTTTGAACTCAAAATCATATATCACAAATCAATATAAATGTCTCATTGGGTCATATCTGGTGTTCCTCTCGAAGAAATGTGCAAAGTTGCATTCCAGTTCTGCACAGCTTGGGAAGGTAATAGTGTGCAAGGACATGCTTGTGTGCAAAGGTACAGAAGCATCGAGGATACCTGTCATACATCTAAACTATTCCAAAATCATCTAACTAAAAATCCCTTCATTTCTGCACAGAATAATTATCTTGTGTGTCTCACAGGGAGAGAGATAGAGAGAGAGAGAGTACTGGAATATAGTGTTTCGCCCAGCCTGTCGGCCATGATGCGATAGACCTTCCGGGCCACAAAGTCCTGTCAAACATGTCGAGCGAACCAGGGCGGCGTTGGTCGGAAACCGCTTGAGGGAATTGCGCAATTTTACGAAGGGATCTGGATAAATCACAATATTTCACTAACCTGAAATAAGATTAAATCAGGCCTCCCATCTTCCTTAGCTAATACGGCCATTTAGGAGTGATTCCCCCGAATCCAAACCATGATTCCAGGCTTCGGTCACAGTGAGGTCACTATAAAATATGCCCAGACGGATTGATTTATAAGGAAATTACAGGAAACCATGAACTAAAGTATACAGATTTCCAGCAAATTGTCCCTTCCACCAATCCTGGGCAGCTAGGAACTCATCAACAATGTTAGCTGGTCGGTCCCCATGTGACCCCGATCATCCGCCATTTCACCGACCACAAAAGGGAAACAAGTGGCTTTGAAGGGCCTTCTCCCATGTAGGTCAATATAGGTCAATGTAACGACTGGGTATACTCCAAATTCTCGCATGTTAAGAGTGAAAAGGAGGTCCAACAAATATTATATATATATTATATATATATTATATTAATTTATATTATAGTATATTATATCATATTAATTTATTATATATATATAATTACATAAACCATTGCACGTTTTGGGAAGCCCATGGGCCAACTGATACAGCCGGACACAGCGGCCATACAGCCGGGTCCTGTTTCAAGGCGGTCCAATCGCCACCATGTCGGAAGGTGTCCAACAAAGACTGGGACGAGGTTGGTTATATGCTTCACCCAGAGGTCATCACATGGTGAGGTGTTTTCGGTGTGGATAAATCATCGTCCCTGTGGGGATTTTTGATCGAACTTAATGGTGGAGTTTCCAGCTCGGCACGTTGCACCCGGGGGTACAGCTTTTGGGATTGGGGTCCTATCCTTGATCTGCTATCGGATCATAGATTCGTGGCAATAATAGGTCCATCAACTTTCACGGTAAAGAGAAACATCCATAATGGGTCGTCCAGTAAACCAATTAGTATTTAACCACTACAACAATTATCACACCCTAAAATTCTGAGAAACATATTGCAAAACCCTCTGGGACAACCGCTCACAAACGTTCCACTGGTCTGTTTACCCAGGAAAATTGGATCTGACTGACATATCCAATGCTTGCAGCATGCTTTGCTTCAAGTATTTATTCATGACTCAATATACCGGCATGTCCCCATATCTCCCATCAATATCTCCGATAAAAAAAATATAGGCTTCCATAAATGGTTGTACTCCTAAATCATGCATTTCAATAGGATTTTCCATTATGAACCATCCACTTTGGGGAACATTTATGGAAACCTCCACATAATATATATATATACTATTATATATATATATATACTATTATATATATACTATTATATATATATACTATTATATATATATACTATTATATATATACTATTATATATATATACTATTATATATATACTATTATATATATACTATTATATATATATACTATTATATATATATACTATTATATATATACTATTATATATATACTATTATATATATACTATTATATATATACTATTATATATATGCTATTATATATATGCTATTATATATATATATACTATTATATATATATACTATTATATATATATATACTATTATATACCATATACAAGATATTCTATTCCCACCTTAAAACCAAACAAACATCCAGCCACGGCTACCACGATCTGGGCTTCCACGGCCGCCCAGTAGCACGAGGCATCCTCCCAGTAGAGTTGCCAGAGCTCCTGTCGAACGGAGCTCACCGTGCGTTTTAGGAACTCAAAACATGGGGGGCGTGAAGTCAATGAACCCAAAATGCTGAAAAAAACCATGGAAAAAACAACATGAAAGTTTATAGTTTATGGAATATGGTACATAATACTTCAAATAAGCCTAAAACTGGGGATGTGAAGCAGCAAAAACTCAGATTTTGCCAAGAAAAGACGGATTACCCAATGGAGAACTGATACCTGGACTACCTTGGTCTTCACGTAAAACTACCAGCTAGATGGACGTCCATCAGCAGAGACTTGGCATGTTGTGAAACTTGGAGTTCCACAACTCATCAAGGAAAAAAACCCACATTGGAATTGAACTCAAACACATGGCAGGAACCAGGTGCATGTCCCCCACTCCTGCAACCTTTTGAGCTCGGGGGCCTGGACACAGGGATGGCTTTCACAGCAGGATAGCTGGTAGTTGTGGGTGCTTCCAAAGATGGTCCATGATGGAACACATCTCGTCATCCCTGCTATAGAATCTACTAGCTGTCGGTTAAGACTCCTTACAGCCTTTTATATGTTTACAGTTTACATTGCCTTTATCAATGGATTGGTTGAGGGGAAAATCTACAGGACATTTGTATCAGCGCGGCCTTAACGTCGCCAGGCAGCATGCTACTCAGCACCTTACAGTGACTCAGCTGGTGTGCTCCAAGGGAAATTGGGTGATAAAGAGCTCAAATGACTGACAATAAGGAAACTGGCTGGTTTTTCCCATCAAACATAGGGGGGTTCCTGTAGAAAAAAGTCCCTTAAACCAATCCAGTGACCTCTTCCCCCCCTGTCTTGTGGCTATTGTAGCTTGAAGCAACCAGACTTATGTTGCAGTGTTTTGACGGAAATGATCGCTTGATGTGCATGTCCAGAGGTCCAAGATCGCTTTGAAGGTGTTGCTGGTAGATACAATTCCGAAACTGAGAATAACATTACAACCACTGTATCTGCTGGTCTCTTCGCAACGCTGCCTTGGAATTTTACCTCTGGTTGCGACCTCTGCTCTGAGACTTGTTCATGTTTTTTGAAAAATAAGTATATTGTATGCATACATTCCCACATTTTGGGTGCGTAAATCATAATTCTGTTAGCTGCTGTAAGCCATCGATACCCTACCCTCTCTTTGTGAGCTGGGGGTTGTATATAATCTCTCCCCCATTGACAGTAAACAAACATGAACTCTGAAACTATTCTATCAAGGTTTAGTTCAGTCCTCATCTCTATCCCCATTTCAACTGATTAAGCACACTTTGGTTATAACACTTGTCCCTGGATTTTTATGAATTATGTTTTATGTCCACCAAAACTGTTTGTTCATTAATCATACCAATTCTTATGCATTTTCCCAGCATTTTCTGCGGATTCTGCCAGAATTTCTAGATGTGTTCCCTGATTTTCTCGATTTTTTTCAGCCATTAAAACATGTAGAAATTGACATTCTAGAATTCAGGGAATCTTAATTTCCTACATGTGGGGCCCCCAAGATAGCTACGTTGGTTTATAACTCCAATAACTATGGTTATAAGTATCATAAGCCATAGTTATTGGAGTTATAAACCAACGTAGCTATCTTGGGGGCCTCACATTGTAGGCCTTCTCTCCATCTCCATCCCCAAAAAAATCGCAACGCGGCGCCTGCACCGCCGTGAGGCCCAGGCCCTGGGCATGTGGTGGAAAAGCCATGGGATGGTCCGACGGGAAAATGATCAAATATTTTTTATGGTGGATGTCCCCACATCTATGTTTGTTAAATATATGTATATATTATATTATATATTATATATATATATGTATTTGTCATTCTATATTATATATTATAAATTATATATTATATATTATATATTATATATTATATATTTTATTTCAGACTTCAGCCTCATTGTGTGTGGCCATACAAACCCCCGCCACGTTATGTAAAGAATCATGTTGAGAAATATGTTGGGAAGTATGTTGAGAAATACCCTACCCACAGAAACAAGGCCCCTGCAAGCACAAAGCAATCTGTTTTCACGGAAGGGCCGTCGCAATGGCCAGGTCTGCCAGGTCTGAATCGCTCATTTGGTTTTCTTTTCCTTCTTCACTTTGACCTTCTTGTCTTTCTTCTTCTCAGCGTCCTTCTCCTTCTCCTTTTTCTTCTGAATGTCCTTCTTCTTCGCAGTGTCCTTTTTGCTCAATTCTGACCCTTTCTTTTTGGTTTTCTCAGCCGCCTCCTTGTCAGCAGCGGTGCCAGCCATCACCTTCAGCTTGCCACCCAACTGCTCCATGCCAAAGTTGTATGTCTTCTTGACATATTGAACCAGCTCCAGCATCCCATGCTCCTCGTTTCCATCCTCCTCAAGAAAGAAGGCGGCATACATCACAATCGCTGCAGTTTCCTTGGTCTCCAAGAAGGTGGCAGCACACTTTTCCTTGGTTTCCTTTGCAAATTCCACCAGGCCTTTGACAGGATCATGGCCTGAGCAATGTGAGGCAAGGGAGTTCAAAACCTTCAGCTGTGACTCCATCACCTCCATGTTTTCATTCATCTTCCCGTAGTCTGTCTTTGCTTCGTCGCCGGCAAACATGGGACGATATCTGCCAACTTTATCCTCATCCCAATCAAGCGACCACTTGACAAGCGGCTTGAATTTCCGCACAAAAGTCTCAAGCTCACGGAGGGTGGAGGCCTGCACGGACTTCAAGCTGGAGAGGCCTGCAACCTCAAACTCACGGAGGTAGGTCTCGCACACACCTTTGACTGACTTCAGAAGCTCGTCCTGCATCAGCTTTGAGTGCAAGGCTGAGGCCACACCTTCACAGCGAGGAATCTGGGCAGCCAAGGCTTTCAGGTCAGCCTTCTTCAAATCTTTGGACTCTGCGGCCAGCTTCTCCTTCTCAAGCAAGAAAGTGGCCACTCCCAAATGTTCAGGCACCAACAAGGCCTGTGGCTCCCAATCCTTCTCGGGCTGCAACATCATGAGGCTCAGGCTTTTTGCGCTGCTGATGCTGGCACAGGTCAAGGCATACTCCACGATCGAAGCCACGACCTCTTTCACCATGCCATCCTTCACATCCTTCTCCACCAATGCCAACTCCTGCTTTGCTGAAGACAGCAAGGCCTTGGCGAACTTCACATGGACCTTGATCAGAGAGATCTCATCGGTTTCATCATCGGGCTGCTCAAAGTCTGAGACAAGCTGCCGCCAAACTAGCATCAGCCGACACAGGCAATCAGGCTGCAACGTTGGCAAGCTGAGGTTCTGCAGGATGGTACCTTGGCCGATTCGAATCCAAGATTTACAACAACAAGCTACCATTCAACAAAACAGGACTTAAGACTTGTGTCAATTATAGATATTATAGATCTCAGATTGATGGCGTTTGTTGCGTCGTCTCTTGTGGTGCATTTTTTTCAGCTCCAGTCTTTCAAATCAAAGTTTATTATAACAGTTTATTTCAAATTCAATGTCCTGTGAAGAGGTGAAAGCATTGGTGGCAAAGTGAGTGCATCAAAGTCACACCTGGTGAAAAATCCATGGTCCAACTTTGTCGGAAGCTGTGGCACACTGAGCGACCTTGGCTAAACGAGAAACAACGATCTGTGCAAAGCCACATCTCTACTGATGTCCAAGCACAACAAAACCATGTAAATGAATCCGAGGAACATCTTGGACAAATCTCCAATGCCCCCTTTCGTTTCCGACTGCTTCAGGAAGTCCAGGATGTTTGCAAGGTCCTTTTCATAGTCGCACAGCCCAGTGACCAGTTCTCAAACTTCGGAAGGGTCTCCGCCATCAGATTGATCGTGGCCAAGCCTTCAGCATCTGCAACGTCGCCACTCTGAAGCTTGGTAAGGAGCCGACATGGATCAGGCAGCATCTTAAAGAGGGATTCAAAGTCAAAGTGAATCGACTCTGACAGGGCAAGCTCAGTGACCTCTTGGATCTTTGACGTAAAGTCCGAAGCCGTTTTCAAATTCTCTGGCGTCACCGCAGCATCCACTCGGTAAGCCAATGCGCTCTGCCACAGCGACCTGCCAAAGGGCAAAAATACAAAGGTGACCAATGCCAGTAAAATATATGAAACCTGTTTGGCAACATTTCGGGCTTATATCAAATGCAAGAGGTTTTAACATGTGTTGCTGAATCAATTTGCATTTTGTGTTACACTGTAATAAGATCACAAACCGTCCTCATTGCAATGACATGGAATTCAGATACACTGACTGTTTTCATTGAGGAGGTTCCTGGCTACTTGTCCAGTACTATGCACACGTGAAAATAAAGAGCCAAGGTACGTCTGCCATAGATGTTCATGCCAATCGCTGCCATCAAAACCATCGTAGGTGCTGATAAAAAACCTCCCTTGAAGGCTTGCCGCAGGCTGTAGTGGATTCTGGGCAAACAATGCCAAATTAATGTGTATATATATATATTCATCCCATTGCTATTAGAAACGCCCATTTCAACATAGTTCTTAACATAACTGCTTCCCCATACGTCAAGACTTGACACAACAGCCTTTTAAAGAGGCTGATGTCTAAATTAATATATATTATATTAAATATATGTATATATATATATTCTATAAAAGAACTAAATGACCAAAAAAAACAGCTTAATATACATTTCCAAAGAAGGTCTCTGTGAAACAAGTTGATTTATATATATATATATAACTGGAGGGCACTTGTTGGTTAATTGATTGGATCATGCCAACTGATGGCTACTTGATGGCAAATTGATGATGAATTGGATGATGATGGTTCACTTGATGGTTTACCAACTAATGATCACTAATTGGTTTACCAGTTATATAGTTGATTCAATTACGAGTACGGTTCATCAACTATTGTTCATCAGATGATTGATGGTTAATTGATGATTATGTCACTTATGTCAATTAATGGGTTTGAATTTATGATTATTCTTTCAGTATTGAGAGAAAAACAACATATTTATCACACATCATTATCATGCCGTTATCATATACGATTTGGGATGATCCAATAAGACAGACTTGGTGAATTGACAGACTTATCATACCAAGGTTGTTCTTGTCTGCAACAATTATGACATTATGGGTGCAAAAAGTCTTAGAATTTGAAACCATAAGGAGCAAACAATGCTGAGTAGATGTCTGTGAAAGGCAAATTGCTATCCATAAACCCCGTTTTCATCCAGCTTTCTTCATCATTTCCCATTGAGACAAGATCATTTGGATGATTTTGGGGCCCAAAGTTCCCAAAGCAGGACAAACCCAAATGAGCAGCGTTCAAAACTCAACATGTCATTTCATGCTGGAGCTCATGGATTATGATTTAGCAGCTGGGGATAATATGGGGATGGGTCAAAACCCTGGTACCTAGTGAACCCCAAAATAGCTGGTAAATGGATGTTCATCCCACTAAAAATGTATCTATAGGTATTGACCCAAAGGGGACAAAAAACCCGGATCATCTTCCTACCTACAAACCTTGTCATTTTCCGCCAAGTCCAGGGTGCTTCTCCCGACCTGTAAATCCAAGTGCGTCTGGTACTCCACGCAGAGAAAATCTTCCTGGCACCGAGTTTCAGTGTCCTGGGGACCTCCCCCAACGTGGTACGCTACGGTACGGTACCAAAACAGTGCAAGAAAATTGGATCCATCATCCCAAAGATCCAAATCTCTGGAAGAATCTGGAACATACACTGGTTGGTGGTGCAATGTGCCCATCTTGAAAAATGATGGAGTTCGTCAATGGGAAGGATGACATCCCATATCTTATGGAAAATAAGCAATGTTCCAAACCACCAACCAAATAACGATTGACACAATGAGCCAGTTACTTTGGCTGGTGCTTTCCAAAGTAACCGAAGTCCCTAATCTCTAGAATCCGGTCACATTATGACATTGTTCACCGGCCGCTGACCTTTGATTTGTACTTCTACTTACCTCTTAGTGATCTTAGTTGCTTTGCACCCGCGTCCGAATTCAAGGGCCAATTGGTGGCATGGATTTCTTCACAAGCATGTCATGCTTTGCATCATGAGTCCTCAGTTGGATGACTAAAATTAAAAACATCTCAGAGGATCCATAGTGAGAAAGCATTTTGACATCCAACAGCCCCTTTTTTTGATGCGTGTAGATTACATGAGTAATTATGGTAATCCCTTCCATTATATATATAATATATTATAATATGCTATAATAATAAGTTTGAATACCACTCCAAAACCTGACTTAGTATATATTGAAATCCGGGCGCGCCTGCACCAAAGCTCGACATCCCGCCTGCATGGGCAGAACCCGGGATTGAACCAACCGTGGTTTTAGATTTAATTCAGCCAACAAGAAACCAACAATACTTGGGAAGACTACGCGGGATTGAAGATTCAACTAACTAACATAATGTTTCTGAGGACTCAAGCAAACATAAAAAGGGAAAATCAACGACAAGTTTGTGGCACTATGATTACAGTATTATGGGTGGGCAATCTTGGCCAGAACCAACAGATACAGCAAGTGAGCAGAGGTTTTGAGCCTACGTCGAATCCTCCTTGTGCATATAGTAGAGCAGTGAAAAGCATCACAGTCAGGACGGGAAAAAACACGTATGGTTATGGGTCAAAAGCCTAGTACATCCTGGTACCCCGGTTCTCACATCAAAATAGCCAGGATTTACAGATGTTCATTCCCGTAAATTCTTTATAAATATGGTGAGATAGCCGTATCATTGAAACCACAAAGCTACTTTTGACTGTTGCTAATTCCAGTTTCCAGCTGGAGTCGAGGTGCCTCAAACTGCCTCCATGCTGACACAGGCCAGTAGCGGCAGTCCCCGCCTGGAAGACTGACGTTTTTTTGGGCTCCAGCGACCCCAAAGGATGGTACTAAAACACGTTGATTGAATACCCGCAGATCATCTTGACTTCGGCGTCTGTAAACAACAAAATTGTTCTTCTTACCCTGCACTGTAACCCCAAAGAATAAGGATTACCATTGGATTATCTTTGTTCCAACCATCTTTGATTACCATTGGAGCAACGGCGGCTGAACCGGCTGAACCCCACCTACATCCAGGAACTCCCATTCGCTTTTACCACCAGGGTTGCTCGGTGATGGGTCGCACCAGCCCGACCTCAAAGCTGAGTGGCTGGGGCGACTGAGCTTCCGGTTGTTCCCCACTTTCCATGGGGCCATGGGTTGTCTGTTGACTGGTTAGATATATATATATAACTGGGTATACAATGGTTTAAGTTACTATAAGTTACTAACTGGTTAACTAATCCCATGACCCATCTAAGCAGACTTCAAGCATTCTCCAAGCGATTTTGAGGGCGTAAGCAGTGGGATGTCCTGGAGTGTAATCAAAAACCAACATAATGGAAGTTGCCATCACAAGAAGTAGTAGAAAGATGGATCAAAGCTCCAGTTGCACTATATTCTTGAAGAACATGGAAGACCATGAAAAGCATGTCCTCTTATGTTCTCTTGTCACTTGTTGGAAAACAACTTGCCCGCCAGTCAAACCCATATCATTTGTTGGGGTTTCCCAAAATAACGGTAGCCCCATATCACCCAGTTTGATGCCATAAGGCCACCTGTGGGGCTGGGTCAACATTTAAGCCCCATGGGACCACAGATTTTAGCATTAAACATTTAATTATTGGAGTATTCTACCAATCTAGTAGTAAACTAACATCTACTAATATCTTGTCGTATTGAGCATTAAACATCATTTAGTATTAAACCAGATTAAACCACAGATATTGTACTACTATATAGGAGTATATCTATTAGAATATACTTATTTGTATATTATACCCATATTAAATATCTATTAGAGTGTAGTATTCAACCTCTATCAGATACATTTTCTTTTTGGATCATCTAATCTAGTACCATTCTTATAATCATCCAATAATCATTAATCCAATCTTAGTATCATCATCCAATAATGATCTCGTTTAATATAACAATTATATCCAATTATATATACCAATGATGATATACCAATATCATCTATTATCATATGGATCATCTATTAATCATAACCTAGACGACATTTTATCTAATATCATTTGTTACGTGGATAAATAATCATTATCAATATATAATATCATCCAATATCATCCAAGAATAATCATTAATCCACATGTTCACCCATCATTTCGGAGTCATATCATTTAATCCATCCAGTATAATCAATCATTACCCTCTGGTAAACATGGAAAACACAAATTTTAATGTTAAAATCATCTGTTTCTATGGCCATTTTCAATAGCTATGTTAGATTACCAGAGGGTAATCATGGGATTGGGATATTATGTGGATTAATAATCATTATCAAGATAATCAGTATCAAGATCATCTATCATCCAATAATAATCAGATGATATTGATAATGATTATTAGAGGATCATTGGATTAGCATCTAATATCATTCATCATATTAATAATCATCCAATAATCATTAATCCAATATTTGCATCTGTTAAATGGTGATTTTCCATAGTTATGTTATGTTAGTTTACCAGAAGGTAACCATTATTGACCCATATAAACCACTTATAGTTAACTATAGATATTAAACCACCCATATTATTATTAACCCAGCCAATATTTTATAATCATTATCAATCAATCATTAACCAGCCTAATCATAATGTGGATTAATAATCATTATCAACATATAATATCATCCAATAATAATCAGATGATATGGATAATAATTATTAGAGGATAATTGGGTTAGCATCTAATAGCATTAATCATATTAATAATCATCCAATAATCATTAATCCAATATTTGCATCTGTTAAATGCTGATGTTCCAATATACTAATCATTGTCGATATCATCATATATCATCTATCATCCAATAGTCCTTAATCCAAAATATCATCTAATAATCATGATCAATATCATCTAACATCATCCAACTATAATCATCAATATCGGAGTGCCCGATTTTCACCAGGCTCCCAACGCATCCACCGCCAGACCAAAGTCCACCAAGCCGTAGCTGGGCGCTCGTCCCTCAGGCGCGGGCGCGCCGGGCGCGGCCTGCCAAGGAGCCCTAGAAATCCCTGGGAAAATGGATGGGAAACCCTGGGAAATCCATGGGAAATGCCATGCCAAAATGAAGGTCTAATGGCAAAATCACCTATTTCTATGGATGTTTTACGTCCCCAATTTTTTGGTGATAAAAGTCTAATTGGGATTTACCGAAGTAACCAAGCAACAAATGGGACATGATGGAGATGGGGATCTTAACCACTGCAAATGGATCTCAAGTCATAGGACACCCCAAGTCATCCAAGTCACTGATCAATTTTAGATGGGAAAAAAACATGGGTGAACATAAATCTTCAAATAAGAGATCCAGATGCAACACACTCAAAGCTGAAACCATCAGCCACTGCTAAGTAACCCCAGTTACAGGTTGGTTTACAAAGCCATTGAATATATAGTTATAATTATATTCCGATATTCCCCATAAACCCAAACGTTAAGCAAGTTCTTTGCGTAAATTTAGCTATCTAGCCCCCCCCCTATATCTAATATTTCATCTATATATGTATAGTAATATATATATAATTATATATATATATACATTGCACTATGTATATATATATATCTTTCAAACCTAGTTAACCAAGTTATAAGTTATAGGTCATCATCAGCTTCGCTAGCAACATGCTTCCCCCACCATGACTTTCAGATCTCGTTCGCCTGCACCAGGATGTTGTGAGCATTGACCTGTGCCGAGCTTGTCATGGGACCCTGACGATTGAAATACAGGGAACCAACTGTCCATAGTCATTGACATTCCAGGTTAAGTAAGTATCCATAGTAATGAACTTTCGATAATTATTATATCACATTACTGATTTATAGACTGTTCATGACTATTCATATTAAATGATTTTCCGGTCAACGCAGAAAATGATTCCTCAGGCTTTTTGTTCCACATGGTCGGGCGTCGGGCGTTGGCATCTCATGCAGTGAGACAATATGCTGTTTCAGCTCTAGAATAGCACTGTATTGAATATGACAATTTGGGATGTTGGTCTAATGTCAATAGCTTTCCAGAAACCAGAACATGTGGTTCATCTTTGAATATTCCACCAACAATATTTCTGGGCGGTTGTGGCTGCAAATTTTTAACTCCTGCCCCTTGGTCCCTTGGTCTTCGGGCATCCCGATGGTATGTCACCTGCGAGATAGCGGCCTCAGCGATGTAAATTTACGCGCACGCAAAAGATTCTCAAGAGTTCCAACAAAAATCAGAATGTATCTTTAATTGTTTATCCATCAATTTGGAACTATGAAGCATTGTGAAGCCATTTCTCACAAATCATCGGCAAATTTACATAACCATACATAACCAACATAGAGCCAGTGAAATATGTAAAATGGCGATGATAGGTGCATATAGGCTGGTTTCCCACTAGGCAAGTGTATCCCGGTTGATTTCTCAAGTGCTGGGAATCCCGATGGTTCAACTACGACAGTACTGTAGCAGGGTATCTGGCTATGATGAAACTCTGGCAAAAACAAACCAAGGGCACAGAATCAACCAAAACGATTTCAATGCCTGCATGAAATTACAAGGAATACCGGAAGCAAAGTTCCACACACCCTGTTTTCCTGCCGTTGAGGAATCCCTAGACATGGTCAAAAATTTGTGTTTTGCAGTGGAAATCCAGAAGGTTCACCCGGTTCACACCAAAAGCAGTACTTGGTGCTGTGAACACCCCAGGCATAGAAACAACACACTATTTCAAACCACCAATCAGATCCAATCAGCCAGAATGATACCAGGTATACATAGGTATACCACATCTGCCTTGAGGATGTCATGATGTGATGTCAGTCACCAAATGCCAAGAACTTTCCAGGGCTTCGTGGATTGGTCAAGTCGTCTGAGTCGGCTGTCCAGAGCTGGATGGAAAGTAGTGGCTCAGTGGCGAAAACAAATCAGCTTATCACACAGAATCAGCTTACCCGATGATCTGAAACCCGCTGCAAATGCAAAGGCATGCAGAATCAGATCGTCTCAAAACTCATAGAATATTGAAATTAATTGAAATTATATAGATGAACTTAGTTTGTTTCGTAGGCAGTAGACTTGGACATGGAACATGGATGATAGTATGTGGGTCAAAAAGATCCAACCAAAGCATAGAGGCATGTAACCAAGAACAAACGGTTGCTACTCAACTGGGTAACATATTCTGATATATGCAAGCTATCATTGGTTTGTTGGGCAATTCATGGGGTAAATGCGGGTGAAATATGCCAGTTACAAGGGGGGAGTAGTCAGTTCTATCACCCATGTAATAAGCAGTTTGCAACAAATTTGCTCCCAACATCCCAAAATACAAGGGCGGTGTGTGGTAAATACAGGGGTCAAACCAACGTTTAACTATGGTTATCATTTACCTCCCTATATAGTTGCTTGCAGCAAGCCTGTCCCATCTCTTGGTGTTCCCACCATGGTTGGAGCCAACTGTTGCAGAAGGGCTCGCGCCTGGTCACAGGTCCACAGCTCGAAAATATGCGAGAGGTGATGGATGTTTGATGATGATGATGATGATGATGATGATGCGGATGATGAGGATGATGATGATTATTATTATATACTATTACTACTTTTATCACTTTTATTACTATTATTACTATTATTATTATCTATGATTATCTATGATTATTGTTGTTATTATAACTGCTGCAATATCTAAAACACACACACAAGAGTTAGCTGGGTCCATCACCACAATCATATGGGGTTGTCGGAAAACGGGTACCCCACAATTTCATGTTTCATCATGATTTTCCATCTTGAAAATTGTAGTTCGTGGGGTATATATTGGTATACACCACTTTCAGACAGCTCCATATAATGTATATGAGTTTGCTTTGTCGGTGCAATCTCCATGTTCATTCTTGTTGATATGAAGATGGTGATACTGATAATAATGTGGTAAATCCAATAATAAACTAAAGCGTCAAATGTTGATAAAAAGGAAATACGTATAGTTACTTTTTTTCAATCACCTATTTTTCTTGATATTGGGGATGGTCTATGGCATTGGGTTTACCACATAAGCACACATCATTCATACTCTGGTTCGTGGTTTCAACATGTTTCAACTACCCATCTGAAAGATGATGATTTGCTGATGAGTGCACAGACGGCAATGAGCAGTGAGAAACATGGGATCATCCTTCTGGTAGAGGCGAATTTTTCAACAAACACATTGAAACCACAGACCAGCCAAACGACTCATGTTGAATGATTTCTTTTGACAAATGATTACACATGAACAACATTAATACATAGTTAGTATCATATGACTCATATGACTAAATAGCTGTATCAATTAGTATCATATCACAAATGACTAACGCTTAAATATGCTTGAATATCCTTGAATATGCTTAAATATGTTTAATGATTCTCGATTATAATTAATCATATGCATCCCAGCATTAGTAATGCTTCTCACCAATGATGAATCGTTACTGATGATCATGAATCTCCATTAATTAATGAAACTCCCTTAGCCAATCAGTTTCCATTGGTTAATAAATATTCATTCATTCATTCATGTCCATGCGATGATTAATTAGTTACTTAATATCTGTGGAGATTATTGTGGAGATCACCATAACCAACTATAGTTCAAGATTCTAGAGATATCTACTATAAACTATAATCACAGGTAACTAATGGTAAGTATATTACTTTAGTATACTTTAGTAACTATTCGAAAAGAATAGAAATTGGAGACTCTGGATGGTAACTAGTAACTATTCCATTGGAAACTCACTAAAATCATCTAAAATCACTAGTACCATCTGGTTATTTGTTACATAGCCATAGAAAATCACCATGCTATTCATAGGTAAACCATCTATTTCGATTAGGGCCATCTATACCATGGCTATGTTAATCATAACCAAATGGTACCCTCTGGTAATTTGACATAGCTATTGAAAATGGCAATTTATAGTGAGTTTTCCCATTAAAAATTGTGATTTTCCATAGTTATGTTAAATTACCAGAGGGTAACTTTTCTTCACTGCTGAAGAATCCCAGCTTCACCATGAAACCATCCGAGACTCTTCGCCAAGAGGCTGATGCCACCGCCTCCTCCGTGCTGAACTCGCCCTGGCGCCGTCAACCACTGAAGGGGTCACTCAACTGGGGCTGAATATCATGACCAGTCAAGAGTAATTGATCACACATATTACTAATCCATAAATATGGTTCAATATTATTAATATACAATCAATATCAATCAATATCAATCAATATCAAACAATACTAATCAGTATCAATCAATATCAAACAATACTAATCACTATTAATCACTATTAATCAATATATTAATCAATATTAATCACATACATAAAATCTGGCTTAATATTACTCATTACTAATATACAAACTCACTCACCTGGAAATAGCTGATAGTTGATGAAGTGTGCGGCCATTTTGGGGATGATTTCCCGCATCCAATTTCCATAATTCCAGTGACGTCACACTGCGGTCACTCTACGTCATCCAACTAAGTATACTTAAACCTGTATCTGCGTATTCATACATTTAATATATATTGTACGTACCATCCAACTTTGTGGGGTTTATATATATATATATACATATGAAAAATAACTCTGTAAAGGGTTGTGACTGCTTCGATGCAAAGGGACATATCCCAAGAAAAAATGTTGTTTTTTTTCTGCTATTTGGAAGGATGATGGGAACAAATTAAAGGAAGGAAATATAGCACCGTGAAAAGACAACACCCGTTGGTGCAGGGGAAACAGCGATGATCATCTCATCACATCGAAAGCAGCCACGGCCATCATATTTCAGCGGCTGTTTTCCGCTTGCAGCGCAACGCGCGGCCGCGAGGCGCTGCAAGATGGGCGACAGGGTGTTGCAGTAATGCATGAACCTCAGAGACCCTGGCAGATTGATCAGTGGAGGGACATGAACAACAAGAAACATCTGGAAACCATTGTTTTAATATGTGTTTATCCCAATATTACTAAGAGTTTCCTTTATTTTCTTCGCGCTGACATATTCCAATTGTTTTCGGGCCAAAAAATTGGACAGATTCAGTACAAAACCAGGGCTTGGATGCGCTTATGAATAGGAGGGTGCATTAGTGGCCCCGTTTATCTTACAACAAAGAAAATTGAATATTATCCCGGCAAGAGACCCCAAACAGTATGGGGGAATGAGAGGATAATGTAGCATACTGTTGAGGATGGTGAGGATGGTGATGATGATGATGATGATGATGTGATGATGATGATGATGATGATGATGATGATGATGATGATGGCGATGGGGGTGATGATGATGATGGTGATGATGATGATGGTGATGATGATGATGATGGTGATGATGTTGCACACCCTGATGTAGATGATAATGATGATGAGGATGATGGGGTGCAGGAATAATGATGTTGAGGATGGTGAGGTTGAGGATGATGATGTTGAGGATGATGATGTTGAGGAGGAAGAGGATGAGGATGATAGTGTGGAAGAGGAAGTGGATGATGAAAAGGTCGGGGATCATAATGCGGAGAAGGAAGATGATGATGATGATGATGATGATGATGATGATGGTGATGATGATGATGATGATAATGACGATGATGATGATGGTGATGATGATGATGATGATGAGAAAGAGAAGGATGATCTTGAGAAGTATGATGATGGTGGTGATGTTGAGGATGAGAATGATAATGTTGGGGAGGATGATGCAAAGGGTGATAATGTTGATGTTGCGGATGTTGATAATGTGGAGGATGATGAGGTCAAGGGGGATGATGATGATGATGATGATGATGATGATCATGATGGTGATGATGATGATGATGAGGATGATGAGGATGAGGATGAGGATGAGAATGAGAATGAGAATGATAATGATGATGTTGAGGAGGAAGATGGTGATGTTGAGGATGATGATGTTGAGGACGAGGACCGATCCCAAGACCGGGAACCATTTACAGGTAATGCCGCCGACCAAGGCCGGGGACCACACTGTGTGCGAGCCTGCGCCCCGGATTGAGCCCAAAACGCGGACACACACCCTTTGTGCGAGCCTGCGCTGTCGAAATGCATGTCGACATGTCACACTGCCACTTTAGGAAATTTACAGGAAAAATGCTCGGGCCCAGTGAGCACCCTGATCAAGCACCGGCCTTTACACCTACCGTAAGAACCCCTCAGTGTGGACACACTCTTTGGCGAATAAAAGAAATAGCAACAAACTAACCCTCTACCCTTCACAAAGGCTTACCCTGTGATGAAAGCTCCCAAATTGCACAACCCTGGTGGAAAAAACCGGTGGCAACGGAAGAATCCCATCATACCCGGTGAAGTTCTATGGGTGGACCTAAGCACGCGCCCCTGCTGCCAAATGGCTGCAACATGACCACGGCACTTGGAGCATTTTGGTGCGCCAATGACACGGGCACCTGAGGTCGCAGGACGTCGACACTTGGGGTACCTCTTGAGTCAATGCTCAACCAAAAATGGGGTTTCACCAGCAAAAATATGGATTGAAAGAAACAACCAGTGGGTGGGATTAATATCGGAATATACAACCAATACTTAAAACGGGGTGGGTCCAGAAATGGGATAAATGCCCAAAATGTAATGTCAATGAAGATGGACTCTAAAGTTGGATTTTGGGGTATCCTGTTCTTAGACAAACCCATATCAAACATCCGTAGCACGAATATAATTTCCAAGTAATGGGCGGGGTAGATACTAACTTTGCTTACAGTTCATCAGTTCTATATTGGCGACTATTTTGAAGAGCGTTCTGTTCTCTCCGTCTCGTTTTCGCCAACAGCAAATATAGCCCCAAACAATGAAGTCTAGTGGTGTACTGCATAAATACCATGCTCCGGTCCTGATGATTGAATTTGACACCATCCGACCCCATCGGTTCGACACTTGCAGAGTGCTCACCATGTTCACCATAACACCATCCACTGTTTCTGAATTTTGATGGACACTCAATGGCCCTTCACCATTTGTCACCAAATACGATATAGCTTGCGGGATGGTAAAACCTGGATACCCATTGCCATAGCTTCTATGTCCATTCTTAATGCTTCCATCTTACACTGTAGATTGCTATAGTCCTGCAATCATAGCTCAATATCTTCATTCTTCTTGCCTGCCTCTGCATGTTCGGAGTTTATCTCCAAATCCCTATGTGTGTTGGTTGGATCCGCACCTTCCATGGCTCATGACCTCATGTTGTCGTGGTCACCTCTATTCGAAGTGACTGTACAGGGTTCCATATCAACCTGAGGGGAAAAAAACTGATGACTTTACAAAGTCACGTTCTCAATTCTTGGGTGTTCAATTAAAATTAAAAGAGCATCTCCAATTTACCTATCGGTCGCATGGGCCAACATGCCTTCTGCTGCAGTATCTGGGGATATCTGGGGTATGATTTTGGGGCTTAAGTACCTTCTCACGCAGGAGGTGGATATACATGAATCCAAATGGCATAACATTTTCCCTTAAGCTGCCATTTTGCAGGACACCCGCAAAACTAATTATCATAATGTTGGTTGGATACAGTATGTTACAGCACACCACCACTAACATTTGACTAATGTCATCCTCATGAGATGGTTCCCCATAAACTGGTTGGTCAAATCCCGCCACAATCCCATGGAAATCCTATGAAAACCACCAGTCTGAGGTTATTTCCAAAGGTATTATATTACTATTGGATTCCCATTATGTTACATCTTCTGTTGGTTATATCATTATATCCCCATATCCCACTGCTTGGCTTTCACTACTTTCTCCATTGTAGTTGGTTACATCTCCATAAACACCAGTTGAATTGCTGGTCATTTTGCCCAATACTATTTTATGGATGGAGAATAACAATGGAAAATTACCCAGTTGTAATCAGTTTCCAACTTCTGGAATAAATGTAATTTAACGTAGCTATGGAACATGGCCCATGTTTAGATCATCTACCTATTAATATGGCATTTTTTCCATAGCATTGTTAGACTACCAGGGGCTACTATATGGGTTTGTCTGAACATACTCCTCAATCTATTGATCAATCATGAGGGTCCCTATTGTATAGATACAATGGAAATCCTTGGGGCATACCCCATTTCCAAACACATCCATATACCACCCATTAGTTCGGGGATCTACCAGCTTGCCACGTTTTATTACTGGAGGGATATCCCACATGCTAAAAGGTTATTATAAGGTATAACTCATTAAATGGGCCATGGCTTCTATAGCTATGCAACAAATTACCAAGGGGTAATTTAACGCATAAATATCTTGCCACTAATATCCCTATATAGGACCATTGTCTTTCCACTTTAATATCCCATACATTTTCGCTCAAAAACACATTGGAAATTACCAAATCTTTATATAATAGCTAAACTGTCGAACCAAATGGGCCATGGCTTCCATAGCCATATTATAGGTAATGATAGCCCAATCCCATTTATCCAGTAAACCAGTTTAAAGTTTAGCCTATTAGAATTACCATCACTATCCATGGCCATGTTGGTTTACTGGAGGCACCGTCTGAAGCTCCATTTCCTCACAGCTCTTGCGCAGCTTTTCTGCAAGGCTGGGAGACGCTGCTGCCTCGAAGCATCCGTGAAACACCCGACACATGTGGAAATCAATGTGAACATCTGTAAAATTCAAAGAAAAAATTGAAACACATCAGAGAAAAATACTACTTGAAATCATACTTTGCCATGTGGGGTCAGAAAATGGGATATAATTTATACCTCAGAAACCTCCAAAGACTAGAATCATCACACATGGGTGAATTTTCGTTGCTGTGCTTTTAGCCCCAAGAGTTGCGACAAGGCCCCGAACCGATCATCAGACCTGGTCAGTACCCACTATGGATATGATATCCCATTAAATCCTATGAAACATCCCATTAAATCATCATCCCAAATCCCAAGAAACCCTCATTAAATGCCACTAACCAAAGGGTAACTCCTTTTCAATCCCATTAAATCCCACTAACCCTCATTAAATCCCATGAAATCCCCCATTCCCAGCTGCCATCAGCAGCACGCCCTTCACCGTTTCAACCGAGACGTCTCCGTCTTTGCGCGTCGAAGCAGTCGAAGCAGTCGAAGCGTGCGCGGCAAAGGGATCCCAACCCTTCAACGCGGCAAGGGATGAGAAAGTCAAATCCCCCAGGGGATTTAATTACAGAAACCATCTTGACTATATATGTGGAATAATAATAGTCCTTAAATAATAATGGTCCTATATAAGAAAAGGGTTTAGTATACCTTATAATACCTTATATATGTTATACTGGTTGGTGGTGCAATGTGCCGATCTTCAAAAATGATGGAGTTCGTCAATGGGAAGGATTATCCCATATATGAAATGGAAAATTAAAAATGTTTAAAACCACCAACCAGCTCATATATGTTATATATATAATTGGACATTTATAGATACTTGTGGAGCGTTTACCTCCAAATGATTTGCAGATGAGAAAACATGAGAAAACTATTTCTTTTGGTGGGATTTCATTGACTGAACTGAATCCGCATCGTTGATGCTTTGTGCATCATTTTGTGCCCATGTGTGACACAACATAGAACAACTCAGATTGATTCAGCAATTCCGCATCCGGAAACATGAAACATGTCGGGGAATCAGTCAATGGATGAACCCGGTTTTTTAATGGGTGGAACTTCTTCAAGATGGGACATCAACAAAAGTGGGGATAGAACTCAGTAACTCGAAAAACCCACATACTAAAAACGTGGCTGACACGCAAGAATTGCCCAACATTCAAAAGTTTTAACCACTCAAGCTGGATCAATAGCTTGGGGGTTGTTGAGTTGTTGAGGTATGCCTCGAATTAATGGAATTAATCTTGGGAGAAACCTTGTGTCGTAAACTATAAAGTTAAGGATGTCTAACCCTGGCTGATGAAATCCCAAATGAATGGAAACATTGTTTGACAGCCGAACTTGACTGGACGGTCACAATGTGGGCCATCACAAAACATACTTGACTCATCTCACATGCTTCCATCTTTCACTCAAAAATCCAAGTCTTTGATAAACCACCCTTCTTGTTGGTTATATAAACCTATGTACCTTTGCTGGTGAATTGTTCTGTTTAGATTGGTTGCATCCTCATCTTTCTGCGTCATGTGTTCAACATTCTTCAACCATCTCAAACATATCTGTCAGTTGGGAGAATCATACCTTTGCCAGGCATGATTTTAGGGATGGAAACGTATATAAGGAAAGTACCCTCTGGTAATTTAACATAGCCATGGAAAATCACCATTTTTAATGGGAAAATCCACTATAAATGGCCATTTTCAATAGCTAGGTTAAATTACCAGAGGGTAGTTGGTGATATCACCTTCACCACCTGTTACCACCAGGCCTCATGACTCAGAAGTAGTGCACACCCGTCTGCGTCTGCTTGCGCCGCTTTCGCCAGGAGGTTCCTGTCGCAAAAAAAGGTCACAGTTGGGGTAACTTTTCAATATACGTCATATACGATATGGATATAGTGGTTTATTGGGATTTCATGGGATATTTAATGGGATATTTAAAGGGATATTTAATGGGATATCATGGAAATCTAATGGGATATACCATCTGGTTATGACTAACATAGCCATGGAAAGATCCACCATTTTTAATAGGTAAACCGTTTAAACCATCTATTTCCATGGGCCATCTATACCATGGCTATGTTAGTCATAACCAGAGGGTACATAAAAATTGCGTATGCATCGTATATTCATAACGTCTTCGACGCGTTTCCTTGGAAGGTCTGGGGGATCTGAAGGATCATCGCTCTATAGCCGCCTCAAGCGCTTTTGCCATGGTCCAGGCGTTTTTCGCTGCAGCCGCGTCTGCAAGGCTTCCAAAAGTTGCCGTTCCTCAGGTTCGGCTGTTGTTGCTTGGGGTCTGGCAGTCTGGCACATAGTAATATGACAAACCCTCAAAAACATGCATCATACAATATATATCATATTTCATCCAATTTATCTTTCTGAACAAAACTGCAGACACTATCAGAATTTCACTGAATGCACCTTACAATATCTCGCAATATGTCTGATCTGAAACTATTGCATACTATTGTGTCCATGCAGTTTGTGTTTGGTACATTGGGTTCTATATAATCTGATCATCAGTCAACAAACATTGGGGATTGAAACAAAAAAACAACCGAACAAGTTTGCAGGCTTACAACATAACCGGAAATAATGATGTAATCACCTTGACAGTCTATGTAGAGCTACCTGGGACTTTAACCTCGTTACCACGGATTTATACACAATTCCCTCACACCTTTTTCATGGTAGTTCGGCCCTTAACACACACACACATGAGTATATATATATAATATATATAATATATAATATATATATAGAACATATGTATACAATTATGCAACGTCATTCTGCTTGACTAGCGAAAAGTACCCATACCATCATCGATTTTTTGAGGACCCAACTGCTCCACCTTGCAGAGTCTGCGCGCAAACCCATGTCCGGCGAAGTCACGGTGGGCGCTGCCTTGTGCGACCTCGACATGCCTGAGCTGAGCACGTGGGTCGCGGGGTGAATACTCGCCCACGGGAAGCAGAATATGGTGAAGCAAACGCACGTGCCATTCAAAAGGCATACCCACCAGTGCCCATACACTGTTGAGAATTGCTTCACTATCAATCCTTTCATTGTCAGACCATATTGGTAAATCAGCCATGATCGACGGTGGCAAAGTGTGGAAACGTTTTCTAACAAAAAAAGGTGCCCGAAGGGCAACATCCGCTGATAGAGCCAAAGCAGAATAAAAAAAACAATCACTAAACAGGACCTGGGGAGACTGACAGGGCCATATGTATTTGGATCATAGCCCTCATGGATCTCAACGCTGCCTAGGTACTGTGTGGGTCACGGATCCTCTTAGTCAACTCTCATTTACCCTCTGGTTATGTCAAAATAGCTATTGAACATGGCCATAGAATAGTTGATTTCTCTATTAAACATGGTGATTTTCCATAGTTTGGCAACATCCCCTATCTGGTTGGTCGTTGACCTACCCCTCTGAAAAACATGAAAGTCAGTTGGGATGATGAAATTCCCAATATATGGAAAATCAAACATGTTCCAAACCACCAACCAGCCTATTGTTTGGTTGGTGTGCTGGTATCAAAGACTCTCATTAGCTGTGTTTGTTGAATAGTCAAGTTGTTGGTTGATCCTTTTGATTGGTTGGCTTACTGCTATCAAACCCTATCATTGGTTGTGGATGTTGAGCAATCAAGTTGTTGATTGATCCTATTGTTTGGTTGGTTTGTTGATTTCAAACCCTATCAGTGGTTTCAGCTGTCATTGAACCTGCCCCCGCGACGACTATGTGTGACACGACAAAGTATTGATACCAGTATAGCAGTATTGTCTTCCAGCCATCTTGTGGATGGCAACTGGCTGATCTCATTCTCTGGCCCCATCACAAAGGGATACCAGTCACAGGTGCACACAGAACCCACAATCCACCCTCCCCATCTGTCTGCCAACTTAATCTATCCAATCTATCAAATTTATCTAATCCAATCTAATCTAATCGATCTAATCTATCCAACCTATCCAATCTATCCAGTCTATTCAGTATATCAAATTATACCAAATCTATCAATCTAATCTATCTAATATATCTAATCCATCTAATCATCTATCTATCCATCCATCCATCTATCCATCCATGGATGTTTATAGCTATCTATCTGTACCATCTGTTTCCTCAAGATTGCATGCCATGGCACCTTCCACAAAGCCAGTGCCCAACGACAGGGTGGTGCCTCGATGGCTGGGAGCTATCCTTTTGGGGCTGGAGGATGGGACCCCAATGTGCTCAACAAATAAAGGAAATCCCAACAAAATGACATTCGATGGATTGGGTTAAGGGAAAATCTACAGGAAACCATGGTTTTTTACCATCAAATATAGTGGTTTCCTGTAAATTTTCCCATCATCCAATTCTATGAGACAGATTTGATGAGAACAAACCCCTTTAAATGGAGATGTTTAATGGGAACAACGTCGAAATATGGGTGATTTTCCATTGCCACACGTCTGATTACCGCAGGGTATCTGATTTGGGATCTGCATCTGAGATAGAAACATTACACACAATGAGTGGGGGTATGGTTTGGGTTTGGTGGAAGGGTCAGAATTGTGCAAAACAAACATGTAGCACATGAGACTTGAGCAGCCCTCAATTATCATGATCTGACCAAACGGTGCCTTCAGGCAATATCAAAGCAAGAACCAAAGATCCTAGGACAATGAAATACAACTACGATCATCGACAGCCATCTACATTCATCTATTTACAGAAACCTGCACTCACCTCTGAAACTATCTACATCTTATTATCTATCTGGGTAATGAATCTCCCATGGTATTAAATTTTACCCCCAGGTGATTCTGCGAATCACACTTCCCACGCCAAGGATGAAGGCAGGGGTGGCTGTGATCCCTGGTGCCCTGGGTTTTCACATCAAACGACGAACCGATTCGTTTAATGTTAACATTGAGTTAATAGCCATGTCATGAATGTGAAGAAAGCAAAACATTTTATATATAATTCCAATGATAACATTACGGATATTCATTTCCCAAAAAGTGTTTTTGTTTTCTTGTTGTTTACATTCTTGCCCGCAATACATGCACCTGTTCCAGAATCTGCCACGGCACCGTCGGAAAACAGCAAACGGAGATGCGGTTCCAGGTAGCGTCCCGCCATGACATCTCCTGCACAGTGAGAAGAATAGTTATGAAATCATAAAGAAACAGAATTATGAAGAAAGGTCATAGTGATCATGAGAATCAGAATCAGAATCAGCATCAGCATCATCATCATCATCATCATCATCATCCTTATTCTCCACATCGACATCGACATCGACATCAACACCACCCTTTGCAAACAAAAATGAACAATAGTAACCATTCAATATCTACACTGAATAATGAACAGAGATGACGGAAATGCCAAGCCCCATCTCTTTTAGCCCGTACACGATCAGGGACATTGCTTTGCCTGAACATAGGGTACCCAATGGTAAAACTATGTAGCATGACCATTCCATAGTATTCCTGATTTTTAGACACACCCAAAATCATGTCAAGTTGCTTCATGTTGGCATTTAATCTTCCATTTACCTCCTATTTCTCTCTCATTACCCACAGGTAATCTAACATAGCTATGGAAAATCACCATTTTTAAGAACGATACATATAGGTGATAGATGGTGATATTAATTCATTCAATGAACCATTTTCCAGAAGCTTTCTAAGAAATTGAGGATAACATCATATTCTCATCATATTCCTTTCTGAAATCCATTGAAGCTCATCATGGTTCATCATTTTTCCATCTTTCTGAGCAAATTACTGTATAATATTTCACTAACCTGAATTAAGGCCATTTGGGGATGATTTCCCCCTTAACCATGATTCCAGTGAGGTCGCAGTGAGGTCGTTATAATTTACCCAGATCTTTCCCTATATTGGAATGGCATGGCATGTTTCTTTTTGCGAGGGCTAAGTCTTCCCATGGCCATCTCGGAGTCTCGGAGTCCTTCGGTCAAGGCATCTCCGATCTTCGAGCGCCACAAGGTGCACACGCACAACCTCGAGTGATGCGAGACCCGGGGGTGAACATTGGATGAACCCCAGTCGTTACGCCATGGGTTTTGTGGCGAAAGTGACGAAAGTGCAGTTCACCGTAAGTTAAGACCTGTACATATTTGTACTATTTTACAACTTTTTATACTTACCCATTGAAAGCCATCTCACACTTAAAGGCTACAAAATATTAGATCGTGGGGATTGGCTGGCTGGATATGCAGTATTCCCCTGTAAAAGTAGAGGTTCGTAGCTGGGCAAATCATCCACAAATTTATCGTGGCTTTGATGAGGATTTAACCCACGACCATTTCCGTGAGCCCAGAAATGTCTGTGTCTTGGGCTTAACCAACAACCATCAGCAAATCTTCCCCATTGGAGGCTTCACTACTATGGGGGTCAACTTCTACTGAAATCCCAATCCGATTGTGGCTGAATCCCCATGACTGAAAACCATTCAGATGGATATATCTGCGTAAATTATAATAATTCACTACCCTGAATTAAGGCCATATTGGGATGATTCCCCTTACTAACTATGATTATAGTGAGGTCGCAGTGAGGTCGTTGTAATTTACCCAGATATATATAGAAAACAAATGAAACTAAAAAACTATGCTCACCATGGTTTGTCATCAGTAAATCCCATGATAATCCATTGAAATATGATTGTGGACCAGTGGTTGACCCAGTTACCCGCTGGTTTTTTATACGGTAATTGAAGCCTGGTTCGCTACGCTTACCTTAAAATACCAGGGGGTACCAGCCCATTCTATTGATATTCCCATTTATATTCCCACAAAATCATGGTTGTACCATAGATATTCAAAAGGTGAACAACCATCATTTATGGTTATGTAATTTAATATAATGATATTCATGTTTTTTCTGGCTTGCACCATGATAAATCCATGATATTCCCCTAAATGGAGGCTTCCTAAAATATCCTAAACTAAAGGTACCCCAAATCATCCAAATCATTAGACTCGACCATTTTAGTATTGAACCCCCTGGTTTTTGGGATTCCACACTGATTTAGAAATCCCCAAATTGAATATCATCATCAACCATCGATCAATTATATCCCCAGATTTTCCGTTGTTCAACATGGTTAAACCATGTTAAACCCCATGGTTTTCTGGTGACATTTCCCACCGCCAGTTCGCCACCAGGAACTGCAGCAGCTGCAGCAGTCTCCTCCGCCCGGCGGTTTGAAGGTCCACCGCGGAGGCCTCGAAGTCCAAGGCGTAGAGCAAAGTGAAGTCCACCCCGCCGGAGGCCTGGGAATGGGACGTCCATGGGAGGTTTTTGAAGTGGAAAATCCCATGGGTTTCTGTGGCTTCTGTGGTTTCTCGGAATCTTGGAGCAGCAAAATTATGGTGGATGGATGTTTTGGATGGTTCTTTTGGATGGATTTTGGATGAAATCGGATTGATCAGCAGAAGACATGTTCGATTGTTCGATGATTTGGGGTGGAAATCATGGTGTCACCCGCTAAAGATGGGTATTTACAGGGAACATATCATCATTAAATATGATGAACACCATTAAATGTGGGGGTATCATGATGGAAAGGCGACCTTTTTTTAGTAGGGGCTATGATTCGATATCTGAAGAGCATTGTCATGGCAAACAAAAAGTGGGGACATTCGGGCATAATTAATACACATGTGGAAATAGACAAAGAACAATCATGAACAAACTATGGGGAATTGATTACCACATATTGAGTGAAACACTGCCAACAAAAACCTGAGAATTCACTGTCAAGATTCAATATATTGATTTCATCAGAAAAAATGGCGCGCCCTTTTTGGGACCTGCAAAATGGTGGTCGTCATCTTTTGGATCAGAAACCATCCGTCGTGGATTTTTATATACTCCCAACATTATAGTAACTGGATTCGTTTATTATCACTATATTTCTGTATACTATATGTTGTACATATACATTTACCATCATTTACCATTCTCACTCTGAGTATTCCTAACATCCCTAATCTTCCGGCTAATCCCAAGATTTGCGAAGCAGGACCTGCTTCTTTCGAAGTTTCTTCTTGGCGTTGATCGCATCTTCCACAGCAGGAAGGACCTGGGTGCTTTGAAAGTCACACATGGGTCATGTTTCCCACCTTTCGACTCACTTTTTAGATGTGTTTAGCATCTTTTGGGGAGATCACGTTGGTGAATTTTAGTAGGATTGTTTCCTTCTTGTGCCTTGGGTTGTTTATTGGAGCGATACCCAACTCGCAATCAGTCTAGTCGTGGGATACATTCTCTCCAGAAACGCTGCATGACCCACTTGAGAAATAGGATGCCAACACGGCTGTGGCTTGGGTCAACAATGGAAACGCAGGTGTTGCCTGTTTTTTTCGCATCGAACCATCCATTTTACTCAAATGTTGTATTTCCACTGATCTACCTCATCATTTGAAGTGTATCATCCACAATGTTTGGTCTTCTTACTCAATGTCCAATGGTTCGGTATCAATTGTGGACAGGTGTCATGATCCCCCAAGTAGTGATGGTTAAAGACAACATCATCGGCTGCGAATATGATGTATTACATACAGAACAAGTTAGACATGTTAGACATCTTCATGTCATTGTATGTCCATATACCCTCTGGTAGATGGGCCATCTATACCGTTGCTATGTAGCACAGAACCAGAGGGTAATATCATATTTCCATTGTAATTTCTTCCCCTCTGTTACTAAACGTACCCCAAATATCAAAAAACTGGGTCCGTTTTCAACTTTAGGAAATTTGAAGTTGGCCAAGTTGACATTTATATAATTGATATCCTTTAGAACACAATTAATAAATAAAGGTCACCTGTCCCATTTGAGGGTTTCACCTCCTAACAATAACAACTCGTCAACACGGTAGTGTTTTTCATTAGGGTCCGTCCTTTAAAATTGAACATGTTTTTCTAAATGTGTTTAATTTAACATTAAGGGAGCATAGAAATCCAATTGTTGGCAACATGTTAATTAGATTTACATAAGGATGCTTATCGATTTTGTCATTTTTTCGAATTAAGGTTCTTAATTTAATATTAGGGGAACCTTCGAAATCCAATTGTTGGCAATATTTTGATTAGATGTTAAAAAGGGATTTATATAACCGATTTCGAAAAAACATGTAAGTTGCTTATTAAGGTTTTTAGTTCAATATTAGGAGTAAGCTTCGCACCATAACACTAAATACCCCGAATATCCCTGAATATTAAAAACTTCTCCAGGTGTTTATTGTTGTGGTGGGGGAATGTTTAGTATTGGGGGAAAAGGAATTATTCCCACTACATTCAAATGATATTCCCATTATGATCGCATAAACTGGTTCGCTTAATATGTCTGGGCAAACTATCATAATGCACTAACTTGAAATGTTGGGCCTATTTCCTTGAAGAAGAAGTGCACTGCCCCGGCCCTAGGGCGAAGGCAGCACACGATGTCCACGCGAACGTGTCCTTGACGATCAACCATGGTGTTCATGGGATCGTTTGTCTAAATGAAACATGTCCTCCAAGGAAAGTGCAAATGTTGAGTCCATCACTTACACCCCCACATAATCAGAAATGCCACCTGGACGGCTTGCAATGCCATATTGACATAAGAGTAGTGGGTTTTCCACCACAGATTTACAGGGAAATAACATGTTCCCAGAAAAACACCTGGACAAATTGACATCTACTCAGACATCCAGGGATGGGACACACCCAAAAAATGCGTAGTCATTGACCCAAGGTAAGCGAGAGTACCAGGCGAAATTGCACCAAGTTGCTGCCAATCAGCTCAAACCGTCAAAATACATAGACAAGCATCATTTGCAGCACGAAGAGCAATGAAGGCGCTCTATGCCTAGCACAAGCCACAGGCAGACGCTTAGCACCAATCACCGTAGCACCCATAGACAATTGCACATAGCCACCTGGGGATAGCACTCCACCAAGGGCGCGCCTCACCATGCGAAAAAGGTTAGCACCAGGACCGAGATCTGAATCACAGTCAAATGCATTGCCGCACCCGATTTCACTTCGAAAGAAGAGCACGTGAGCGCCAACATCCGTATCCACAAAAAACCGCATGCGAATCCCATTGGACAAATGTCCCCAGCAACAAAGAACCCAGACGTAAGCATAGCACCTTGCCAGGTAGTAGCACCGTGGGCAGAAATCAAATCGTTTTGTCAACGATTCTCCATAGCCATGGTCCCCAAGTACTCCCAGGGAAAAGATCTTTCCGAGTGCCTTCCAGCATCTTCCAGCCACGGGTAGCGCATGAAGATCAACACTGTCACAAAAGTCGCCCCATTCGGTCACCGTGACTTCTGGATCTTCTGGATTGACCGCATCAAAATAACAGAGAAAGCCATGTGGTGTTGGTCTTGGCGTATTGAGGCGCCACTTCAAAGTGATGGCCCCGATTGGCTTCATGTCGTCCCAGGAATAGAAGTCACTGATTGCGGATCCACATGAGTTTCCTGTATGCCCAAAGCGGGTAGCAGGCCACAAATTGGTGCTGCTGATGGCTGCACAGTCACCCACCTCAAAGTTCGTTCGACCACCAAAGTGCCTATTCAGAACAGGATTGGTTGATCCCATCATTTCCATGTCCTCCAGCGGTCGAAGCCACATAGGAGGTCGTGACATGGCAAATCGAATGTAGCGAGACCCAATCAGCAGACCTACAAGGCCTGTCAGGTGTGCTGCGTGAAAGCTTGGGCCAGACACCCTTGAAATGTTGGGCCATTCTGGGATGATTCACTTTATTTTTTTACCATGGTTCCAGTGAGGGAGAACTGTGAGGTCGTGACAATTTGCCGTGATATGGCAGTGTGTCAAAACCTTGTACCCCTGGTGAACATCAAAATAGCTGGTAAATGGATGTTCATCCCACTAAAAATGGTATTACTGTAATAGGTATTGACCCATACCCATATGTTAAAAATCCCTCACCTACTATGACTGGGATGGTCCCAGCCTCGCGCCACAACTTCTTCACACCCCCCAGCATTTGGCCGCAGGCACCAGGTCGTGCAAATGCGCCGCGGCCAAACATCGCACCACCTGGCGATGTGGCCTGGTGGATTTGATGATTTGACCAGAAATTGGGGAATTTGGGGATTTCACCAAAAAAATGGGGGATTTAATCATTGATTATCTTTTAGATGATTAAGCCAAAAGATAATCAATCCCAAAACAGATTTTCTTAATTCTGTTTCATCATTGATTATCTGAAACATATGAAAGTCAGTTGGGATGATTATTCCCAATATATGGAAAATGTTCCAAACCACCAATCAGTTATCTTTTACATATTGGGTAAGTTGGAAAACAGAACTAAGCCAACGGATGGACTCATGACAAATCTCTACTGAGTGGATCTAGGTTGGATCGGATCGAAGCAGGAAAAGGACCCGACTACTGAATGACAAAGTCTTAGTTGAACTTCTGGGATTTTCAATTAGCCAGGTTGCTTGAGAAACGTGTATATATTATATATGTGTATACATGTATGTATGTATGTATGTATGTATGTATGTATGCATGTATGCATGTATGCATGTATGCATGTATGCATGTATGTATATATATATATATAGTTACTTATTTATGTTGTATGATTTCAAGTGTATGATAACTGTTCCCTATTGTTCCCTAATCTTCCAAAGCACGTCAAATCAACGTACGCGATGCCAAAGACTATTAATGGGATAAAGTCAATTGATTGCTATTGATTCAAAATCTAGTCTGCAGGTTGTAAACCCAATTCTCAAGCCTTTTTTGCCACCTGGGTTCTACAGAAATGAATAGTCGTTCTACAGAGATAAACGTCCGTTGTACGGTTTGTCTACGGTTTGGGTACTTTCTTTTTCTGACCACTTTCAACCCCTGATCAAATAACAAACAGTTGCTATATAAAGTACAATATTAATGTCCTTACCCCGACGCAAGTCCAACGATCGAAGAAGAGGGTCCCTTTTATATCATTTTCTAATTACATTTCATATTTCATATGTTCATTTTTTTTTAAATATCGTATCAATTTTATGTTGTATGTATACAATTCCAAGGGACCTGTTATATCAAATAATATGTTGTATGTATCGTTTGAAATAAAAATAATAAATTTTGATACATACCCTCTGGTAAATAAACATAGACCCTGAAAATAGCATTTGTTTAAATGGAAACTAGTCTTCCAACCCCTATCTGCCATGGTCTATGTTAATTTATCAGAGGGTAAATACCATTAGATCCCATTAAATCCTATTAAATCCCATTAAGTTCCAGTAAACCACCATGTTCCTATGGTTTTCCTATGGTTTTCCTATGGTAAACCCATGAAACCACCATTTTTTGACTCCAAACAACTAAGGCCTTGCTGTTGCTGCTTGGTTTTCTGAAAAATTAAGCGCCTTGGAACTGAACTCAGGCGTGGCACCGATGCGCAAACGTACCTGACAATTTACAAAAACAATGTGGCTGAATCTATGCTGTATCTATAGAATCTATATATTATATGTGTGCATATATACTGTATATATATAATTATATACTGTATATATATATATATGATAATATTACAGATGTATCTATTATTGTAAATATATGTAAATATATATCTATCTTGATATGCTTATTTCCTGGACAGTCAGCCTCTGGTAGATTGAACATTCTGGTTGAAATTTGAATCATTCACTAACCTGAGAGTACCTGAAATAAGGCCATTTGGGGATGATTCCCCCTACTACATCTTACTACTGCAATCATCATTCCAGTGATCTCACAGTGAGGCCATAAACATTTTTTTCCAAATAGATTCCTCTCCTTGGGACATGGAATTTTCATACATCCATCTGACAATTCAAGAGTGCTTGGTCGCACTGACTGGGAATCATCCCAAATCGCTGGAAAAATCATCCGCATCCCATTTTTGAAGCCACAGTAGGGGCTGGGCAATATTGGTTTGTTTGAAAACTGGGGTGGTTCATGTTCCCTCTAAGAATCTGCCATGACTTGGGTTTAGTGTCCATATTCAAGTCCGAGAAACTGGATGATGATAATACCTACACTTGAACCATCTATAACCCCATTCCCCTCATATTGAACACCGTTGTAGAGTCCCAAATATGTGGTTTCATACCCCACGAAACAATGGTTGATGCGGGCTGTTTAAGGCTTGAACGGGGGAAGTGATTATTTTCCATGGTATCATTGCATCAATTATATTCCTGAGTATGTGTTCCACTATTGATGCTTAATTTCCAACTAACGCATTCATTATTTATGGACATAAAATATCCCGTGAGTCCCATGTTTGATCTTTGATATCCTTAGCAGCTGCAGCACGCAGCACGCGCAACGCTGAGTGCTAGCACGCAGGTTCGTCACGCAGTGGGTTTTTAGCATTGTGATATATGTAAAATTTAACTAGATCCGAGAAAAGCATCCATACAATTTTTAGACCTTAAATGGCTAGTAAATCGCAAGTTCGAAACGCATTGGGTTTTATTATCCTATTCATAACTCGGTGCATTTACTTTTCTATGAGAAGAAACATCCGGTAACGTGCGAATATCTGCCTGACGTCCGGATGCATTTTGCGCTTCCGAAAAAAAAAAAAACATCTGGGGTTTCCCCGTTTCCTCCAAAAGGGTAAATTCTTTCAGGATGTTGAATAAATCAACGCCACTTGGAGCTACTCGTGTGGCTCCCATGAATGTGATGAGCGTATCGTCACTCCAATGCATTTTTCCTATTTCAATAAAAGCATCCACTATCTAAATCAAGATAAACACCTGAACTTTCCTTCAACTTCGATGCACTAAAAAGTGCTCAGAAACAAAAAAACGCTCATTTCCAAAAAAAGTGCTACAAACCCTTAAAAAGTGCTCATTTGGTTGTTTCATTTTGTCGGGCACCCCCACATGTTCAAACAGCCGGATCCCCAAGGATTCTTGCAACATACACTGACACAATCACGCTATGCTTAGGATCACGCTGCTTAGGCTCTCCGCAACCAACATCGTTCGCCGCTGCTTCAAGTAAGTCATCAAATTCACTTGGATGGGCCGAACTAGACACTTAAGCTATTGAATATCCACATTTGGGAGGCAAGTGTCAGTAGTGCCCGTACACTTTTTGAATTGCGCCCCGATTGCGCGAAATTGCGCCCTGATTGCGCGAATTTGCGCCCCGATTGCGGGGTACCAAGTTGTCCAAAACGTCAAAAAATGTCAAAACACAGACAAATGTGTATAGAATCAATTCTTTTGAGTTTGGTCCCAATGTGCATCCTCCCCAGGAAGCATAAATTAGGAGATAGATGCTGATTTAGATGCAAAACTCGCTTCCAGGATTGGCTTCCACCAGCTTGAGTATGGGCTACTGTAACTTTGTGGATTTCTCCAAGAGTTTAATAGATACGAAGGTGTAAAATGGGTTTGAACCCCAAAAAGTGCTCATATCCATTGAAACCCCCAAAAAGTGCGCAGACCATCAAAAAACGCTCAGGGATGGCAGAAAGTGTATCCAACCAGGGGGTTGCCAGAAAAAAGTGCTACAATGGAATCTCCAGGCATATCTACTAGGATGCACACCGGGAAAAATGCATTGGAGTGAGTGCTGAGCACGCGAGTGCTGGCACGCGAGTGCTGAATGCCAGCACGTGAGTGACGAAACAGCTAAGTTAATATCCCATTATAGTTTCCCATTCATATCTCAGTTCACCAAGAAACACATATCATACCAAGTTGGTTAGTTATCAAATACGATTATATAAACCCTAAAAAATCCTAAAAAATCATATTAACTCCCATTAAATCCAATTAATTCGCATTCAATCCCATTAACTCCCATTAAATCCCATTAACTCTCATTCAATCAGGTTAAATCCCATAAAATCCCATCAAAGCCCATTAACTCCCATTACATCCCATTAACTCCAATTGAATCCGACTAGCTTTGGCTATGCACGCTCTCAGAGCGTCCGATCATGCTATGTGCGGTTTGTCACTGATTTTTGCATGCATTTCCGACCGTTTATTTTCCGATTGATTTCCGATCAATTCCGGATATTTTTGGGAATAGCCGCTGTACTTATCACGGTTTGTCACAGTTTGTCACGGCGTTTTCCGACAATGCCCAAGATTTAAGATGATTTAAGTATAATAGTCTTTTGTCTTCTGTCACGGTTCGTCAAAGTTTGTCACCGAACTGGCAGGCCAATTGAAGCCAATATGAACCCTCTTCCGATAAAATACAACCTCCGACTGTCACATTTCGACAATGCATGCGCTATTTGCGATCATCAGAAATGATTTCATTATTTGCATGTCCGATTTGACCATATTTATGCGCATGGTTCCTCAGGGTATATTCAAACTAAGTGTATCAATCAGTTGTTTTTTGTGGAATACTGAAATGTCTGAGGACTGTCTGGTATCAAGTGTTTGCACAAAGCCAACTAGTTTGCAGTTGAACAAAGATCGTTGGGGGGCCTGGGGTGTATAGGGCTGTTTCTGCCATCGGCACAAGAAACTCTGGCTACCCCTGGGGAAAACTTGATGGATTAGGAGGATATGATTATTCCGTTCATTCATGATGATTGACCCATTCATATCTCAGTTCACCAAGGTTCACATATCATACCAAGTTGGTTAGTTCTCAAATACGAATAAACCCTATAAAATCCCATTAACTCCCATTCAACTCCCATTAAATCCCCTTCACTCCCATTAAATCCCCTTAAATCCCATTCAACTCCCATTAACTCCCATTCAACCCCCCTTAACTCCCATAAAATTCCATTAAATCCCATTAACTCCGATTCAATTCCCATTAAATCCCATTCACCTCCCATTAAATCCCATTAACTCCTATTAACTCCCATGAAATCCCCTTAACTCCCATTAAATCCCCTTAACTCCCATTCAACTCACATTAAATCCCATTCAACTCCCATTAAATCCCAGTAACTCCCATTAACTCCCATTAAATCCCCGTAACTCCCATTAAATCCCCTTAACTCCCATTCAACTCCCATTAACTCCCATTCAACCCCCCTTAACTCCCATCAAATCCCATTAAATCCCATTAACTCCCATTCAATTCCCATCAAATCCCATTCAACTCCCATTAAATCCCATTAACTCCCCTTAACTTCCATGAAATCCCCTTAACTCCCATTAAATCCCCTTAACTCCCATTCAACTCACATTAAATCCCATTCAACTCCCATTAAATCACAGTAACTCCCATTGACTCCCATTAAATCCCCTTAACTCCCATTAAATCCCCTTAACTCCCATTCAACTCCCATTAACTCCCATTCAACCCCCCTTAACTCCCATAAAATCCCATTAAATCCCATTCAATTCCCATTAAATCCCATTCAACTCCCATTAAATCCCATTAACTCCCAAAAAATCCCATTAATTCGCCTTAACCTCCATTAAATCCCCTTAACTCCCATTCAACTCCCATTAAATCCCATTAAATCCCATTAACTCCTATTAAATCCCATAACATACCATTAAATCCCATTAACTCCCATTCAATTCCCATTAAATCCCCTTAACTCCCATTCAACTCCCATTAACTCCATTCAACCCCCCTTAACTCCCATAAAATCTCATTAAATCACATTAACCCCCATTCAATTCCCATTAAATCCCCTTAACTCCCATTAAATCCCCTTAACTCACATTCAACTCCCATTAAATCCCATTCAACTCCCATTAATCCCATTAACTCCCATTCAACTCACATAAAATCCCATTCAACTCCCATTAATCCCATTAATTCCCATTCAACTCCCATTAAATCTCCTTAACTCCCATTAAATCCCCTTAACTCACATTCAACTCCCATTAATCCCATTCAACTCCCATTAAATCCCCTTAACTCCCATTCAATTCCCATTAAATCCCCTTAACTCCCATTCAACTCCCATTAACTCCCATTCAACCCCCCTTAACTCCCATAAAATCTCATTAAATCCCATTAACTCCCATTCAATTCCCATTAAATCCCAGTAACTCCCATTAAATCCCCTTAACTCACATTCAACTCCCATAAAATCCCATTCAACTCCCATTAATCCCATTAACTCCCATTCAACTCCCATTAAATCCCCTTAACTCCCATTAAATCCCCTTAACTCCCATTCAACTCCCATTAATCCCATTAACTCCCATTCAACTCCCATTAAATCCCATTAACTCCCATTAAATCCCCTTAACTCCCATTAAATCCCCTTAACTCCCATTCAACTCCCATTAAATGCCCTTAACTCCCATTCAACTCCCATTAAATCCCCTTAACTCCCATTAAATCCCCTTAACTCCCGTTAAATCCCCTTAACTCCCATTCAACTCCCATTAATCCAATTAACTCCCATTCAACTCCCATTAAATCCCCTTAACTCCCATTAAATCCCCTTAACTCCCATTCAACTCCCATTAAATGCCCTTAACTCCCGTTAAAATCCTACCATTTTTCCACGGTGAAGCCTAGTAACTCCACCCTCTGGCTTGGCCCCCCAACCAGCTTCAGCTTCAAGGCCGTCGATGCCAGTTGCAATGCCTCCAGCTCCTGGCTGCTTCGAAGCCGCTGGGTACTTTGTTTATGCATTTTTCAATGGGAAAATATCGCAGTATTATCCCTATAGTGATGGTAATAACATATATATTTTTCGGGTATAAGACATTTGGGAATAGTGATGCTCATATAATGTCTAGTGCTCCATCTATACCCTCAGGTGTTTGGAGCCCTGGGGGATGGGATATTAGTGGTGATAAACCCCAACCCTAAACTATTTATGGCTATGGAAATGGGATTTGGAAATGGGAATAGTCATGCTAATTTAACATGTAATGTTAGTGGTAAAATGTTCATATATGAGTTAAATCATTTGACACACAGCTACGGAAATGGACCATTTCTGATTTATAGATGTTATATATTGTTATATTATATAGATGGTTGACATAATACATCTGTGGATTTCCATAGCCATGCTAGTTTACAAGAGGGTAGTTATACAAAGCAGGATATATCCCATGAAACATCCCATCATACCATATTCCCATATAGAGATGTGTTTCTCACATTGTATCCGACATTTTATGTGAAAATCATCCTGCGCATTTCATGGGAGATAACTAACCACCGTTTGATATTCGGGTGTGTCTGAGAATGGTGGATATACCTAGATGTACCCAAATTATGGCCTTCAATGAGGAAACTGAAAGTAAATAAACCCTGGATGACTTTGGCAAAGTTTGCAATTAATCCCTTGAGGAGAGCTTTTCTTTTGGTTGGATGCCCTGGTCAGATGTTTCAATGAGCAATGTCAAAACCTATTTACAAATCACCAATTGATAACTGGCTTTTTGTGGAGTCCCAACTCATCAGCTCATAGATTGTGATAATCCCCATTGTAGGCGGGACATGGCGGGGTTCAACTCGCTACTATCATGTGGCTCAGGTAGGTCCTTGGATTGGGAATATGGACACAAGCATAGCTCCGAACCGCTCCTTTCATTCACCACCGGATAGCCCATAAATGATGGAGAAATGATGGTGAAATCCCCATCGAAGAAGTTTTCGAAGTGTATTTCTATATGGCAGTGTGTCAAAACCATGTACCCCTGGTGAACATCAAAATAGCTGGTAAATGGATGTTCATCCCACTAAAAATGTATCTATAGGTATTGACCCATACCCATATGTTTGATGGTCAAATCCCCCAAAACTACGGTTCAATCCCCACGAACTTTGGTTCCTGCTGCGTCATGTCGCGCACCGCACCCAACACAAACAGAACTGCAGGGACCGCAGGGACTGCAGGGGCCGAAGTGGTGAGCCTCACCGGAAGTCAGCACGAGGAGATTTCATGGCCATAACCAGAATGGTTGAATGGGAAAAGAAAGATGTGGGATTTCCCTAGCTAGTTCAGTTGTGGTCCCTACCAGAATCTAAATTCAATTGTTATTTATTAGTTGTTGCCTATGGATTTCCAGCTGAGCTGACATAATGTTTACTGCCCTTGCCTCAGGAAGAGATTGAGCTCCGCTTCACAGTCCTGTGGAAATCGTTGGATGCAGAACTGGAAGAGGCCTCTATCGGTCATACCCTCAGGTATCATATGGAAGTTTCCTCAACTAGGGGGTCCCCAAAACCATAGGTTCAATACTAAATATATCTAAATATTGTCAAATTTGGATGATTTGGGGTACGTCCATGACTCAGGAAACCTCCATAATTATGGGTAAATCAGGAAAACTGGGGGGTTTAACCAGCAAAAACCCGGGCTCAAGCAGGGAAAAATCATCCACTATTTTGACCTGGCTGGCGTTGTTCTTTCGCCCTGTGGATCTAAAGGGACCCTGCAACCTTTACTGAGCCATTGACTTGAGGTCAAAATTGTTGACCATCGGGATAAAGCAATGGACACACCCCTATCTATCTATCTATCGATCTATCTAATCTAATCTAATCTAATGTAATCTATTCGATTCAAATCTAATCTAATCTATCTATCCAATTCTATCCAATTCTATGCAATTCTATCCATCCAACCCATCCACCTATCTACCTACATATCTAATTTAATCTAACCTATGAATCTATCTATCCACTCATCTCCGCTATGCTCCGCGCCTCGTGCAAAAGGGCTACGATGGATCCCTCAGGCAGCCGCGCCAATGGCACCTGCGGCGGCTCAAAAAAATGCTCTGTGGGAGTGGGAGATCACGGAAAAATGATCTGCAAAAGGCGTGGGAATCATCCAATTATATATTATGTATATCATATCAAATCATATCATATAATATCAACTCATATCATATCATATCACATCATATCAAATCATCATAACATGTATCAAATCAAATCAAATCATATCACATCAAACCATATCATATCATATATCAAATCAAATCAAATCATATCATATCATACCACATCATATCATATCAAATCATAACATATATCAAATCAACACATATCATATCATATCAAATATCAAATCATATCATATATCAAATCATATCATGTATATAAAACAAAAAAACATAATAAATTAACCTATTATAGTATAACATAATATCATATATTACATTATAGATTGAATAAAAATATTATATAATAACAAAAATACATATAATATATAAACTATAATAAATAATATAAAATATGTAAAATACAATATAGAATATATATATATAATATATATAAACAAAAAATATAAAAGATATAATAAAATATATATATTATTTAAAATAATATAATATAAAATAAAATACAATATAATATAATATCATAAATAAAATGATAAAATATAATGTAATAAAATTTAATATTTGATATAAAATATAATATGATATAATATATAATATGAAATACTAGATAATATGATATAATATATAATATGATATAATATATAATATGATATAATATAATGTGATATAATATAATCATGTAATAAAATATAGTAAACATGATATTTAAAACTATCATATAATATAATATATATCATGATATAATAAAAACAAAACTACAATAGTAGTAATAATAATGATCATAAATATTATTATTGCTATTAATAACTTTATATATGCATATCATATGAGAAGGGACCAAAACTAAGGGTCACAAAGGCGGTCATGAGCAACAGCTTTCGCTCGAGCTAGTTCGCTATATCGCTTTATAAATGGTTTTCGTGTTATCTCTTTGCGTACTTCGCAAGACCTCTCAAGTAAGGGTTTCTGCATGGGCTTTTTAGGTCTATGTTCATATATTCTGATCATTACTATTACTATTAATCATGTTTTTATGAATAGTGTTGGTATTATCGTCATTACCAGTCACTTTTATTATTCACTATTACTTTTTATTATTATCATCATCCGGCTTCTTCTTATCATCATCATCATCATCATCATCAGCAGCATCATTGTATGTAATTTATGTATATATATATATAACTATACATAAATTATGTATCGTAATGTAATATATCAAAATACATCTATATAGATATAGATGATCTCTGTGACGATTCATATATTGAAGTGGAGGCGACATTTAGCCAGTTGGAGAGGGGACAAATACAATATCAAGGGTGAAAGCTATCAAAAAGCGTATGGGTAGCACTGAAGCCCGGGAAATCATTCACTCAACATTCCCTCAGAAGGTTATTGTTTGACCCCTCAATCAAAGATGAAGTCAATAGGCCAGAGGAGAAACGACTGGTTCGAACGCCTCCCTCATTTCTGGGCAAGAGATTGGTCAACATTTAAGACTAACCTCCAGCCCCAGTCTTGTGGGATCGTTCCACTGGCATTCAATGAGGGTACTTACTCGAGACGGTTGAAATTTGGTCCTACAGTGTTTATCCATTTAAACAAAGGCCAAAATCATCTACCCCCAGATATAACGAATTTGTCACTTATCTGGATGTTGTGTCCAGCATATCTGTCTTAATTAATTACTGATATTGGTTGGACCCATCGATATATTATAGTAGTATGAATCCCAAGAACGTATACAGTATTGTATAGTAACCCCCAATGTATCACTAGTCTGGTAGGAACTATTGCTAATTACCTACTTTTCAACATGTTTTCTACATGATTGTAATTACATGTTTGTCGCGGCTACTATATGGAGGTTTCCTGAAACTGTGCTACCCCCAAATCATCCATTTTATTTTCGGATTTTTCCATGTATAAGCCCTCCATTTTTTGGGGTATCCTCCATTTTAAGAAACCTCCAGATCCGCACGAAAATGGGTCAAAACCTACTAAATTACCACCTACTAGTATATGTATATATATAATTATATATATATATATAATTATATATATAATTATATATAATATTATATATAATATTATATATAATATTATATATATATTAATTAGGGGATGAATACTAAATCGTTTTCCAGCTATTGGGAAATACAATCATATACAATCTATTACCTCAGTGAACATCCTACTATTACGATGTTAATCATTTACCAGCTATTTGGATGTTCACAGCTCTGCAGGCTTTTGATTCACGGCCAGATTGCCGTTCCCAGCTCCGTCTGCCTGCCTTCACCGCTTCCAGCAGTTCCACGCTGCTTCCACGTGGCCGTGGGCCTTGAGACGAAGCTCCGACCTGAGGAGGAGAGGGGCCTGCTAGGGGGCACGGAGAGTTCGATACGTAATTTAAATATATATATATATATGTATATGTGTGTATATATATATATATATATGTAGACATTAATGACATATATGCCATGTATGCAATAGAATGTCTTACATCATTGATGACTATACAGAAAATAAAGTAAAAATAAGTTTTATTTACGTGTCTGAAGTACAATGATTCATATACTTGCATAATCTAAGATGTGTATAAACGTGTGAATAATGTCGAGGTAGGTACATACTCACTCAATCTTAATCCTAGTGTCCTGAATTGTCCAACGGTAACAGCAACTTGGGGTGTGTTGCTTTAAATTGTTCCTTTGGATGGGTGTGTGTAACCATCTTTGTCTGACCGATTGTCAAAGGGTGATGTCATACTTCAGACCTGGGTTTCGTGCTCCGGAAACACACCCAAGTCTTAAAAAAATATGTTGGATGTAGGTTCAAACAGTGTTAAGAACCTTTTCCCAACGTGGGTGGGTACTATTTCACTTAGAACTATCACTGCTTTCCCCCATATCAATCGAACTTCCCTTCATGAAGATTCCCTATCATATGATCATATTCCTATCATTTCCTATGGTTTCTGAACCTTGAAATTAGATCGTCCCATGATCTTTCGACCGACCAGTTCGATCGATGCACCTCTCCTGCCGCTTTCCAGGCATCTAGCACCTGGAGCGAGATCATTGACGTCGCAACGTGAGGTGTTTAAATAGCATTTTGATTAACAAGAACAACAAAAGCAATAATGGCAATAATAGCAATAATATGCAATAATGGTAATGATATGTACCAATAGCAATAAACAACTCAATAAATAAAGTCCTGATGGTCATCACCTCCACGACACAAAAAAAAAAAAAACAGTGAATCTTCTCTGTTCCTCCATGGCACCTGTTGCTTGGTCAAGGACTTAAGGAGCCGATCCAACTTCTTATTGAGGCCATGCTCTCGCAGGAACTCCTGGGATGTGTTTCTTTCCATGGAGGATACCGGGGGAAAAACGGTTCTGAATTATGAACCATAAGCTGTTCATACCAGAAAAATCAAGGATATTATACCAAAACGGTTCTACCAGGGGGATTTTTTTTGGTGGGGAAACTTGATAAAATAAAAGTGTCCCCAGAAAAAAATCGTCAACTCGTGGCAGAACGCGCTGTCTTCCTCTATATGTGTGTCATGAAAAGCCAACATGTATCAACTATTGTCAACCCCCAATCGACAAACCCTGGTTGATTACCTAGGGTTTCCCACGCCAGCAGGACCCCTGTCTCCAGATCCATCTTTCGCTGCAGGTGCTCCAACATCTCCCTGCGACCCAACTTCTCTGGGTCGCCTGGGACCAAAGTCGTTAGAGCTTTTCTTTGCGGGCCAACAAGTAGCAAATTCAAGTCTGGAATTCTTAGTCTGCTATATTTTGTATGTTCTTGCAAAACATGGGTGCTGTTGCTTACCGTCCGTTGTTTGTTTACTGTTCTACTGCTTCAAACTTCGGATTTCAAGTTGAGATGGACTATGCTATCACTTGTCTGAAGTTGCTGCCAACTCTAACAACAAGTATCTCCTGCAGCATCTTAAATTATCTACCACTTGTAGTTGTAGTTATCTTTGATGTTTTCTACATTTTCAATGTGGGTAAACTCCCCATCTTCTAAGTTTAACCACATGTCTAAAGGGTTGTATATGAATCCCCACTCGCTTTAAATCCAAATCATGGAGATACAAAATGCCCCAGATATTCCCGAAGATGGTTGATTTTACATACCCCTTCAAAACATGAAACATCATTAAGCATGCAGTTATTTATATAATTTTCAGTTTGATAGTATAGGTTTAATATACATTTATAACCCATGGATGGTTAACAAAAAACAACTTTCAACCTACCCTTCCAGTAGACTGTCTGACCACCTTAAATAAAAATGACAAAATCCGAAACAAAACTATGTTGTATTTTTTTTTGTCAACCATTCATTTAAACAAAACATAATTTGAAAGCAACTACCAAAGTAATGTGGGATTCACCCAATGCCCAATGCCAGCTACCATGTGATGATGGTTCATGCAACGCACCCATATTTGGTCGTTTTTGGAGCATTGTTTATAGCATTGGTTCCACCACCTTGCATGGTTGTCTTTGAAAATGGGGGGATACACGTGTAATAGTAACTATGCACATGTAAAAAATCAATGGATTTAGGGATACCCTATGGCCTATGGCCCTATTTCTTTTCAGAAACCATACCATTCATTGATCTTCCATTCATTCCACTGATAATATATTCCATCCGTATTCCATTCATATTCTACAATCGTCCCATTAAAAAACTGATTCGTCCCAGTTAGCAGCTACCAAATCTCACCAGTCCCAGGCCTTCAAGTTGCTGCTGCTGCCGCCAAGCCTCCTTAATGCACGTTACGCCTTTGGCACCACTGCCTGAAAACACGGGCAGCGGGGCCAATGCGAAACCCCTGGTGAGGATGCGGTCATCTATGGGAATTTTGTGGTGTATAGCCTGTATAGCAATAGCAGTGGAAAAACATATGGTCATGTTTATATACTTGAAACGACACATGGTATATCTATTGTTATCTATGTCTGGAACATGGAACATGGAACGCGTAGCCATTGACCATATAGATACATGATGTCATAATTGTGCCGTGGTTTGAAAAGTATTTGCATCCATTATGATCCATGACATTTTCATTGGGAAGTGTGTCTAAGCCCCAATGCATCCGCATGTTCGTTGGCTACGTTTCATGACTATTGGGTGTTGTCACCTCTGTTCTAGGTATGTTAATACTAGTATATATATATATATGCATAATTTAATACATATATATATATATATAACTGCGAAATACTATATATATAGGATATATATATATATATATGCAATATATATATATGCAATATATATATATATATGAATAAATATGTGAGAATATGTATAAATACGTAAACTATGTATATATATATAGATGATAAAAAAATGATTGTGTAAATATATGTAAATATAAATATGTATCTGTATACATGTAAAAATATGTGTCTATATATAACAAACATGTAATTATACATATTAATATATATATATAAATATAAATATAGCTTTGTTTATGTAAATATACATATCTGTATTTATATTAATTGTAAATAAAAAAATATATACATATATAAATGTATTATATATGTAAATAGATATATGTATATAGATATATGCTATATGTTTTTAGATATATGTGAGAAACATATCAACAACATATTAACACATTTAGTCCCTATTTATTCTGTTCAGAGCTTCCCCCGCCTGCAATGGCTCGTCTCCAGGCCCGGACAAAGTCCTGAGGCTGCGGCCTTCGGATCCTTTTGGCAACTTTCGGGGACAATACATGCATAGGCAGGGTGATGAAAAAGTGATGTGAACAATATTTCACGGTAAAAGGATGTTGAAGGTCTACTAACACACAAATGTCCCTAATATAGGTAAGTATATGCCATACACAGGGTTGTGCCCACAGCCTTGGATTAGAAAAGTGAATGTAGGAACAGCTCATTGCCCTTGGGGCCAATAGGCACTGGATTTTAGTAACATTCCCCAATCAGAAGCCACAGAGCAGCATCATTCATTATGGCCCTTTTTCTTTCAAACCCTGCTCAATCAAGTCTTCTCCCGCAGGCCGCCTGGCCTGGCCAAATAACATGTCGAAGATCTCAGAGCTTTCACAGCAACTAGTTAATGATTCAGATGTTGCTTTCACACTCATGGACTATTCACTGTTGCTCTGACAAATGTTTGATAACTTTTGTGGTGGTATGCGCTCGACGTTCCACAATATAATCTAAAATGATGTGCAAATCCACAACGCTAAGCGGCGCCTTGCCACTCGCACTTTTTTCCCAAGAAAATGATTAGCGCACAGCTCAGGCAACGTGCTGAACCTCTAACCCTGAGGCCCGGGCCATTCGGGCTAGTACTCCAGTCCACGGGTCTAGCCATGAGGGCGCAAATACGTACCGTGGCCTGAAAAAATCATACAATCAGTATTGCCATACCCGAGGTCGAGGCCTAACCCAAATTCAAATGGGTAGGTCCAGCAGAAGGTTGGCACAACAACAACAACAACAACAACAACAACAACAACAACAACAACAACAACGACACCACCAACACCACCACCAACAACAACAGCAACAACAACAACAACAGCAACGACAACAGCAACAACAACAACAAAAACAACAAACAACAAACAACAAACAACCAACAACAACAACAGCAACAACAACAACAACACCAACAACAGCAACAACAACAGCAACAGCAACAACAACAACAAGCAACAACAAGCAACAACAAACAACAACAACAACAACAACAACAACAACCAACAAACAACCAACAACAACAACAAACAAACAAACAAACAAACGAACGAACGAACGAACGAACCAATGAACGAACAAACAACAAAAACACCACCACCAAAAACAATAACAGCAAACAACAACAACAACAGCAACAGCAACAACAACAACAACATCAACAACCACAACCACAACAGCAAACAACAGCAAACAACAACAACAACAACAACAGCAACAACAACCAACAACAACAACAGCAACAACAACCAACAACAACAACAACAAAAAACAACAAACAACAAACAAACAACCAACAACAACAACAAAAAACAACAACAACAACAACAACAACAACACACAACAAACAACAAACAACCAACAACAACAACAACAAACAACAACAACAACAACAACAACAACCAACAACAACAACAACATTGAAAAAGAGAACAAACAACAGCAAACAACAACATACATACATACATACATACATACATACATACATACATACAAACAAACAAACAAACAAACAACCACAGCAGCAGCAACAGCAACAGTAAGAGCAACAACAACAACAACACCAACAACAGCAACAACAACAGCAACAGCAACAGCAACAACAACAGCAACAACAAGCAAAAACAAACAACAACAACAACAACAACAACAACAACAACAACAACAACAACAACAACAACATTGAAAAAGAAAACAAACAACAGCAAACAACAACAAACATACACTCATACATACATACATACATACATACATACATACATACAAACAAACAAACACACAAACAAACACACAAACAAACAAACAAACAAACAAACAAACAAACAAACAACAACAGCAGCAGCAGCAACAGCAACAGTAACAGCAACAACAACAACAGCAATAACAACAACAACAACAGCAACAGCAACAGCAACATCAAGAACAACAACGACAGCAACAGCAACAGCAACAGCAGCATAACAACCGCATCAACCGCAACGACCACAACAAACCACAACAACCGAAGCAAACCACAGCAAACCACAGCATACCACAACAACAACAGCAACAGCAACAGCAACAGCAACAACAACAGCAACAGCAACAGCAACATCAAGAACAACAACGACAGCAACAGCAACAGCAGCATAACAACCGCATCAACCGCAACGACCACAACAAACCACAACAACCAAAGCAAACCACAGCAAACCACAGCATACCACAACAACCACAACAACCACAACAACCAAACAACAACCAAAAAACAACCAAAAAACAACCAAAAAACAACAAAAAAACAACAAAAAAACAACAAAACAACAACCACAACAATCACAACAACCACCATCACCACCACCGCCACCACCACCACCACCACAACAACAACCACGACAACCAGAAGAACCAGAAGAACCAGAACGACTAGAAGAACCAGAATAGCCACCCACCACAAGAACCACAAGGACCACAAGCACCAAGCACAATCACAATTACCAGTCTTATGGCTTTGGCAGAAAGAATTGAGCTTTTTCTCAGTGTCATTGGCTGTCAAGCAAGCCTCCAGCTTTGGACCCTGTGCCCATCTGAGCATCCATCAAAGTCCAGCAAGCACGCACATGGAAGTGAAATGTTTGTACCTCAGAAACCTAGGTCTAAAATCAACTTACATCAGGAATACCGTATACCGTACCAAAGTGCTCATGACCTTAGACCCCCCCAGTACAAAATAATGGTCTAGCATCATGTCAATGTACATGATTTTTTTTTGGGACCAGGTCGGAAAAACACTCTAACCTGCAATGCGGCTATGCTTGAAGCTGGGCTGTTCAATCCACATGGCAAAGAGTGAGTAAACAACAAACATGCGTGAACATTGAACATGTCGCACTGCATATGCGATTAATTGTTCAGCGCATGACAACACCTTGCTGCAGCGGAGGCGCAACAAGTAAAAGGCTTGTTGCCCACGGCGGCTCAGCAAGCAGGTGAACGCGTGGTACTGGTTTGGGATCAATGTCAAAGCCACTGACAGATCCGAGCTTCCCATCACCGCACGGCCAGCGCGAGTGATTTATGTTGTCTCTGAATGTCTCTGATCATGATATAATGATAACAACATGGTGGGCGTGTCAGTGTGGTGTTTGAATGCGTTTGTGTCTTTGGTTGGGCCTGCCGGCTTTGTCTCTCATTATTTCTCCTTGGTGTTGACATCGCTTGTTGTTGATCAAGAACTGACTATTTCTCTTGTTTTCGCTATTTGTCAGAGTCTCCACCTTGATTCCCAAAGCTCTCAAAACGCACGTGGGTGTGAATCTGAGCGACTGCAACTTTGATTTTGAATCTGGGCGCTGCAATCAAATATATAAAATTTAGTCATGGGTGACTACCCATGTGCTTGGCTGAACACATGCACGAGCCACCTGCGCAAATGTAGTGTCTTTGCCTGCATTGGCCTCAGTCCCAAAGCAATGACCGGATGGCGGAAACTGGTTGAAAGCTCGAAAGCTCTTAAGTAGTTGGACATTAGCCCGACTAACACTGATAGTCCAGCAATCTACCCATGCCGAGAGTTCTAAATCTGACTGAGCTGACACATCATTACAACCTGCTGACAAATCAGGTATCACCACGGGTCGCCGGGCGAGGTGTTGGGCCATTAGGCCTAAGCAAATGCGACATGTTCAAATGTCCATCTTGCTGACTCTGGCCTAAACGAACTTGAGCTGAGTCTGAACTGAAGCAGTTTGCAGGATCACGGCTAACGATTGAGATCGCCGACGCAGTCTGACCATGTGTGACAAGTCGCACCTCAGCTAACTCACGCTTGATAAGTTTGGGCAAACGGTTCTGAGCCCGAGGCAGTGTGAGAAACCAGCTATCATTGCATCTGGAGTGAGCCGTCGGATATATGACAATAAAATAATCACGGTTGGAACCAATGCCAGCCCATCAGCAAGGATTCAGTTTGCAAACAAGCCAGGTGCGCTGCCAAGATGTTGAGGTCCAAGCAGTTCAGGTTGAACATGGGGACTGAATCTGACTGAGTGTCATCAAGAAGCCCACCCTGAATCTGAAGACTCTGTGGGACTAGGAAAGCCTGAGTATGAGTTTGACACATGAATTTGAATATGAATCTTAACATGAATTTGAATATGAACCTGAACATGAATCTGAATATGAGTCTGAAATTAATTTGAATATGAATCTGAACATGATAATGAAAATGAATTTGAAATATGTATCCGAACATGTACTTGACAATAATAGGACGCCTGAATGCGAGCGTGATTCTGAACATGAATATGAATGCGCCTCCTAATTGAAAGTAGACTTGAAAGTGAATCTGACTGAGCTTGCAGACTAAGAATAGAACCCACCGCGAACCTGGCTGGACGCGGCAATTGCAAAAGCTGAGCGGATGTGAAAGTGAAAGTGAAAGTTGCCATAACAAGATCAACGGCGCCAGCGCCAATATCAAAACATGCCAGACGCACGGCCCATGTGTTGATCTTGACGTTGGTAGCAAAATACATGGCCCACCCCCACCATCCCACCAACAGAGCCATTGCCTGGCTTGTCTTGCTGTGTCGTTCTTTTATTTGTTGACATTTTTTCGGCAAAACTTGGAGTTCGTTGGTCTTTTTCTATGTGTTTTTTTGGCTCTTCCTCTCTGGGATTTTTGGATTGGTCTTGCTTCCGTCTTTGCTTTGTTATTTTCTACTTCGACTTGTCCCATTTTACAACAGGATTGTTCCGGTTCCTTGTTATAAGGGGTCGCGGGAACCAGGTTATCAACCAGCATGCTAGTGTAGAATGGGACACAAGAATTCAGGAATGCCAGCATACAAAGAGACACTACAGGAACAAACAAAGAAGTAACCGCATTTGGTATTTTTACAGAATTATTTTCCTGCCCTGCCCCCCCCCATCCTAGACTTAAAGCACGAGTTCTGGCATCAGAGTCACAGGGGCACAGGGAGTCAATGAGCAAACTTCATCTCTTTTTCTTGAAAATCAAACCTCAATTTCCTACATAGTGACTTTGCTTGTATGCTGTCTGGGCGCGGCCCTGATACATGGAGCACATGGGACATATCTCTAGCTATCCTTATCTATATCTACCTGTAACTGTAGATTTTATCTTGGCGATTCCTAGACTCACCAGCTGGACCTTTCAGGGAAACTGTGTTCAAAGGCCAGCCAAAACTGCTTGGCAATAGCCACCCAAACAATGCACCTGGAAATTGGAATACTTGGATGTGTATAGCCACCAAATGCAGCAGTTGCAAGTAGCAAGTGTCAATATACAGTATACATTACTAGGATATACCAAAATGTGTTGGTTGAAGTGGACGTTTTTTACCCCATCAAAAGGTTGGGATTTTTGGCATGAGGCCAACCTCAAACAGCGGCACAAATGCAGGTCCTGTTCAGTTCCACCGAAGGGAGCATCTCGAAAAGCCTCCTGCAGGAGCCATCAATGGGAGGAATTCACGATTCATCACTGGGATGTCGCCTGACTTGGGGTTGATCGGGATTGGGGGGCCAAAATGCAGTATATGGGCCGCCAGTCTTAAACAGAGCCGAAATGCAGTTAAACAGAGCCGAAATGCAGTTCACCCAGGTCCGAAACGCAGGCCTTCAGTCGCGCATCCATCCTCAACAGGGAAAGATCATCTGACAGCAGCCTGCAATGTGTTGGGATCGCACTGGGTTCTTGATGAAGTTGCCGGGTAGTCCCTTAATGGGACGGTTTAAGCCAACAAAACATGTAAAAACACGGCACCAAAATGGAGGTATACTCTAACTCTCCACCTATGTGAGCGCATGATTTCTCTCTGTTTACGGAGTGCAGTGGTTTACCTGAAATGTTTCCCATTGAACATGATAAGAATACCATTCAGGGATATCCAATTTCCCAACAACCCCGATGGACACGTTGATTTTCCATCCTTTTCTGTTAGCCCAATCACACTAAATGATGGCAATCCCCACTGCTACTGATTGGATCCATTTGAACCCCTTACCAACCTTGGTTGTATCTCCCTTAGTATCCCCTGACAAATCTCACAACATATGTTGGTTAAATGTATCACTGTTATCCCACGGAAACACAATCAAATTGCCATTTGCCTCCACAAAAAACATTATTGTTGGTTATACATTCATATCTATCTATCTATCCATCTATCTATCCATCTATCTATCTATCTATCCATCTATCTATCTACCTATCTATCTATCTATCTATCTATCTATATATATATATATATATATGTATATGTATATATATCCACTAAAACCATTAAACTTCCCTGTTTGCCTGCTAATTTATACAATCTGGTGCCCTATGGTTAGCAAAGTTGGATTATAACTCGATCAAGTAGGGTTTATTGCGAATATAGCAATGATTGGTGTTTAAAAAACAACTTACTGTATAGAATCTTGAATGTGATACCTGCAACAGTATGTAATACTATAGTTGGATGGACGATTAACCAATTAACTAGGGTGCACCAGCTCGTCTCATCGTGTATTCCCATTTCATTTTCCTGTGGATGGGGCTATAAACTGTTGGTTTCTGAGGAGGTACGTGGCCCACTAATATCCCAAATGCTTCCTCGGAAAGCACTTGGGATCCTCAGAGCCTTAGGGTATGATATTATCTTATATCCTCTGGCAATTGAAGATAGCGACCGGGGACATCAACACTTCTAATAGGTATATCATACGGTATATCATCTGTAAATGGGCCATGGTTTCCATAGCAAACCGTCAAATAACCACAGGGTAACTTAGATGGGGTCACCAATCGTTTTTAACCGACTTTCAATACAATCTGGTTGTTGTAAATAAAATCTTCTTTACAAACAACAATTATAATACTCTAGCTAAGAGTATCAACGCATTTTAAGTCATGTTATAATCTTATGATATCTTATCCATGGCATAGCTTAGATCCCAACAGGCACGAATGCACTAAGATACATATAAATATTCATCTTAGACAAAATGATAAGGTTATTATCACCTATTGAACATACCCTGTGAAATTATTATCTTAGATAATCAATCTAAGGCGCGCCAACATCTCGACTTCCCCGCCACCGCCCTGGGCCTCCACACACCGTGCACTCGCCGCCCATGTCCGCCACGTCGCCACCAGGCCACAGCGCGGCGGCGGCGATGCGGCACAGGGCGTCACGGCGGCCCCACCACATACCTGGGATCAGAAAACGGGGTTGAAGCATCTGGGCAGATATGTTTTTTTGTAGAGAAACCTTTATGTAATTCAGGTGATTTAAGGTTGTTGAAAATAAGTCATGAATAATTATATGCTTTTGATTCTTGCTGAACTTGTTTACTTTAATTTTTATTGGGGGTGGAAGTTGGAGTGATTTTGGGTGATTCACGTACATATTCCTGCGTGTGACTGTGTTACTTTTAGGTCAACATATCATCCACAAGTTGAACATTTTGACATTCAGCAAAGTCATGAAGCCATATCTAAATTTATAGTATAGTCATCCCCAAATAATTCGATGGAAAAGTAAATCCCTACAAATTTGATGGCGATTTACTTTTCCATCTATTTGGGGATAATGGCAGTGTGTCAAAACCTTGTACCCCTGGTGAACATCAAAATAGCTGGTAAATGAATGTTCATCCCCCTAAAAATGGTATGTATAGGTATTGATCCATACCCAAATATATATATATATATATATATATGCCAACCCCCCCGTGGTAACTATATTTTAGCCTTGCGTTATTTTCTGTCATTGGCTGCGCAAATGCACAAACGATTGTAAAGATCAATGAGAATGTGCAAGGAAGCAGTGCAAGACATGAAGACATACATAGTGTCAGAGAAGCCGTGCATGTGTGCTTAACCGCTCCATGCTTGGGGCCAAGACATGTGAGGGTGTTGTTTCCACACAGCCATGTACCTCTTCTACTAAGATACAGGTGCTGTCAGTGGTGCATCCTTCAAAGCCAAGACCTTAGATATCCATGGCATGGGATGACACAGACTGCATGAACCAGTCTAGGAACTGTAATGATCAAAGACAATCTACTTGCATGCAACCAAGTGGCTGGCGGAGGGGATGCCAAAGCCAATAGCGCTGCCTGCTTTGATCGTAGTGAGCGCAGTACTTGTTGCTCTGCAGCATCGGACCAGGCCCCAAAAAGAGCCACCGGTTCAAGCCGCAGGCCCCGTTGCACATTGCAGACCATTGCGGCGACATGCTTCTTGAGGACTGGTCGTCGGGATTCGTGGATGGAGAGCTTGCCCTCCAAGACTTTGTTCACGAATGCCTGTAGTGGCGGCACTGGTCAAGCAGCCGATCCACCTCGCCCCCCAGCCACTTCCAACACCACTACAGCCTGATTTCCTTGCACGGAGACGCTGCCCCACATTGGAATCGCCATGATTTCAAAGTAGAGTGCAGATCAAGGTGTTGCTGCTGTGAGGAAAGATGGCTAGGCGCAGCTCTAAGATAGAAGCAAGTGTCAGAAGGGTCAGTCACGCAAGGCTGTTTGCACGACATGTCTGGAGATGTGCCGATTTGAACCTGACAAGATCCAGACTTGAGAATCTCAAGTCTGAAAAGGGTTCAGACTTGAAAATCTCAAGTCTCGCATAGCTAACTCGAAGGACGTCGGACAGCCAACGCTACAAGTTAATTATTGCTGGGTGGAAGGCACGAGCAACACTAGCGCCTTTTTTGAATTCGATAGCCAGTGGCCATTCAGCTAAAGTTGGGCTAATGATAGAAAGAGAGGAAGGAGTGGATGCGTTGGTTGCTGAAAGCAAAAAGCGGCACTGGAGAAGCGAGAAAGGAAGTAGGGCACACAGACCGGAAGATATGACAACGTAAATGCAGGAATGCGTTCAGAATGGATTCTTTCCCTGAATTAAGATCTAAGATCTAAGGTTTGCTCGGGAGTCTTTGGGGAATCTTAGATGTAAATCTAAGATCTAACATCTAAGATTTGCTCAGGAGTCCTGGGGGAATCTAAGATCTTAGACCTTAGATTTAGCAGAGAATGCATTCTGAGTGGTGCGTGTGTATAAGGTAACCCCCTTTTGACCCAACCATGTGATGTAAAAAAGATAGGTTTCAGGTAGGCTTCATGTGATATATATAATATGGCACCCCCATTTCCCAAGCCTAAAAAAGTACTGAAAAAACTGTAAATCACAGTACAAGAGACTAAAACATAGGTACCGGGGGGAGATACCAGTGTATATATATATATACACATTTATGGACACCCAAAAGAAAATTTGCTTAGTGAATGAAGGCATGTCAACGGGCACTTTGGAAACCCGGAAAAAGGAACCGGCGCAGACTTTTGTCTATCAAAAACAATCACAATACACTCTTCATGGGCGCCAACAAGTCTTGTTCGACTATACCCCAAATTTACAAAGATCGGCGAACAGTTCTACAGTATGTTGTTGTATTCTGACATTGTTGCACCCAATGCCGCTTTCGACCAGCGAAGTTAGTGCATCTCCCAGTGCTTGCCATGGCGCTTTCATCAGCATTTGGCCTCCACTCCTCTGGGTCTGCACGACCATCTGAGAAGAGGAGAAATGAGATCTGCACGTCGAATCGTGCAGCGGACCGGTCACGTTGGGCGTATCCGACGTTTCTGACGTTTCGATTGGACAAAATGGGGACGCCTTTTTCTTTGGGATGACACTTGATGTGCACCTCAGCAATAATTAAGTCAAAACCTATAAACACCTGGGCTCTTTGGCCATGAAATCACTTCAACTTGGTCTCGCATTTATGGGACCTACTAGTAGTTTCAACCTAATACTACAAATTCCATAGAAATTGTCTCCAATTACTAGGAAAACATAAGAAAACTTGTTTGAAACATTTTGACACCATCAAACAAATTGCCCATTGGCATTTGGAAATGGAATTGCACACCCCCATAAGTGGGTCAATCACGTACTGGAGCTATCTGGGTTACAACTTCCAACCCGGACCCCCAAATAGATCCACAAGTGTGACACCCGTAAGATCATAAGAATAAAATGGAAGCAACAAATGGGGTTTCACAAATTTGGGGTATGGGTACCGTTTTCACCCATAGGTTTCTGAATTAAAACATCCCATAGAATGCTTGGTCCCCATCGTACCCCTTCATTCCATTTGCAGGTAACGAACTGGTCGGACTCAGAAGACATGCATGGGGATCATGGGGTCCCCGAACCAAGTCAGGGTTTCACCCAATATTGTCCTCGTAGACAAAAAATAGAGGGGGCGGTTTGGTAAGGTATATCATTTACTTTCATCTATCGATTGCTTGTTGAAAATGGGGAAGCATCTATTAATCAATAGATATCAATATAATTGATTGTCATCCTATTCGTTGTCGGATGGGAAGGGGAAGCCTCTATTAATATATTATCAGGCTTTGTCCGAAAATAGGCTACAAAAAAAAATCATTACTCTACTTCGTGTGATCCCCACCATGACATGTCAGGACGTATATTTGGACATATATTTAGTATATTCTGACATCCTATCTGACATATATTCTGGCATATATTCTGGCATTCTATCTGGCATATATCCTGACATTCCACCTGGCATTCTATCTGGCAGTCTATCTGGCATTCTATCTGACATATTTTCTGACATTTCATCTGACATATATTCTGGCATTCTACCTGTCATTTATTCTGACATATATTCTGGCATTCTATCTGACATATATTCTGGCATATATTCTGGCATTCTATCCGGCATTATATCTGACATATATTTTGGCATTCTATCTGACATATATTTTGGCATTCTATCTGGCATTATATCTGACATATATTCTGACATTCTATCTGACATTCTATCTGGCAGTCTATCTGGCATTCTATCTGGCATTCTTTCTGGCATTCTTTCTGGCATTCTATCTGGCATTCTATCTGGCATCCTATCTGATTCTATCTGGCATTCTATCTGGCATTCTTTCTGGCATTCTTTCTGGCATTCTATCTGGCATTCTATCTGGCATCCTATCTGACATTCTATCTGGCATTCTATCTGGCAGTCTATCTGACATTCCTACATGAGGTCCGGCAGGGAACACTTGGCGTGGATACTCGCGGTTGAGGTCCGGCAGGGAACACTGGGCGTGGATGGTCGTGGTTGAGGTCCGGCAGGGAACACTGGGCGGGGATGATCGCGGTTGAGGTCCGGCAGGGAACACTGGGCGTGGATGGTCGTGGTTGAGGTCCGGCAGGGAACACTGGGCGTGGATGGTCGTGGTTGAGGTCCGGCAGGGAACACTGGGCGTGGATGGTCGTGGTTGAGGTCCGGCAGGGAACACTGGGCGTGGATGGTCGTGGTTGAGGTCCGGCAGCGAACACTGTGGATCGCGGGTCGCAGTTGAGCAAGGACGACGAGGACGACGAGGACGACGAGGAGGACGAGGAGGAGGAGGAGAGGAGGAGGAGGAGCAGGAGGAGGAGCAGGAGGAGGAGCAGGAGGAGGAGCAGGAGGAGGCAACTGACATAAAATCTAACAACCCTCACCTGGCAGGTGGGGAATTAAGGTTAATCACCAGTATCCCTATATCAACGAATATCAATGGCTATTTTGTGGATGGTGATTATGGTCCAGCCTCGCGTCGTCGCTTGCCAGGCCCTACAGCCGGTGCCAAGAGGCGGCGCTTCTTGGCCATGGCGCCGTGCTTGGGCCATGGATCGAAGTTAAAGCTGATTGAAATATCATCTATATATATATATATGTATGAATATATATATATATATATGAATATATATATATATGAATATATATATATGGGTTTATTGTGATTTATGTTGATTTTTTATAATGATTTATAATGATTGGTGAATCATCTGATCTTTGAGATCGGCTTCTTGGCTCATCTTTTGGAATCAGAGATTCAACATGCTTTCCCCAAAGATTTGCCAAGGAGGGCCTCGGTTTTGTCGAGATGGCTTCAAGGAAACATCACCAGCAGGGGGACCTTCCAAAACCCGGACATTTCGAACATGTGGCTTTGAACAGCTGGTTCTTGTCTTCAAATCGGGGAGAGCCTCCTATAACTCCTATAGTTTATGGCTATATATGGCTATCTATCACTAGTTTTATCATGTTTTATCATGTTTTATCTAGTTTGGCTATCTATTGACATCCCCTGCAGTGCTCAGATCCTCATTCGCTTCGAGCCAAAAGCATTTCCGGCCCGCGAAAACGACTAGTCCATCTGTGGTTCCCTCTTGTTTCTCAAGACTCAATAGACACTTCTTTCTGTTGCTCAAAAACACTGCATGTTCCAAATGTTCCAATCACATTCTTAATGACATGCTTAAATTCACCATTTTCCACTGCTTAGATCGTGAGACGTTGGTACCGTAGGACGTCAGTTTACAAGGCAAGGCTTCTCAAGATACTAATTGTGTATAATTTTGGTGCGTAGTAATTTTCTTTACATCTGGGCAAAACAATCAACCTGCCTATTGACCCACATGTTTGCTGTTTGCCTCCCCGGTTCTTTGGTGGGTTGCCCTGGATTTTTTGATGGTTGAATAATGTCAAATACCAATTTTTAACAGTTAAATCAAATCCGGTACTGTAATTAAATCCCATGTGTTTGATGTTGGCATACCAATTTACGATGATTAAACAATTATGAAGACATGTAAAATTCCGTATGGCGATATGAATCTTCATTCTTGATGGTTAACAAAAACTGAATAATACCCTACAGGATGGTGTCCCCCAGTTATAAGTTGGTTGATAAACCCCATTAACTATATATAGTTATCATAGTAACTAATTCATAGTATAACTAGTTGTTTTTTTTTAAAAAAATAATAAACCACATAACAGTTATATCTACCATTATCTCCCATAAATCATGTTGTAACTAGATCTGCACACACCTCTTCAGGTCTAAACACCAGAAATCTGCCTGCGTAAAGAGATGGTCCAGGGTGATCCCCGGTAATCGACTCCTCAGAGGGGTGCGATGAATCGATGAATTCAATGGATGTGTTTTTCTCTGCTTGGTGGTGCAATAACCAACTTTTTCGTGGGAATATCCATAGAAAAAAAGGGGATAATTAATATGTATTAATACTGTCTGGTTGGTGGTGACCTGAAAAATGATGGACTTCGTCAGTTGGGATGGATGACATTCCCAACTGAATGCAAATTCATAAAGGCCATGTTCCAAACCACCAACCAGATTATGTATTTATGTATATATCATATATGGGCAAATTATACTGACTCACTGATCTGAAATAAGGCGATTTTGGGACAGTTACCCCTACTAATCCTACTAACCATCATTACAGCGAGGTCGCAGTGAGATCGTTATAATTTGCACAGATACATATAAATATATAATTGTATATGATTGTATATATATTATATATATATATATGTATTCACCCAAAAAAATATGTCAGAGGTATCAGAGGTAAATGACAATTCAATCCACTCATCCGCCCATATCAATCGAACCAACGCATTCAATGCGTAACATGAAGGAATTTGAAGCCACATGGATCCACTCGAATGTAAAATATACCAAAGGCTGCCTTCACGGACAGAGACACTGAGTTCCGCACATGGCCAATCGAACGCGCTGACCAGCCACTTCCTCAGTGATGAAGACCAGAAGCTGGATAGAAAAAGTCATGGGCGACGCTCGGAAAGCACCAGTCAAATGCTAGTTAGCTGCTAGTTCCTAGGGACATGACTGGAACATCAGTCATCTTTGGTCAGATCCAAGAGCTCCGAAGCTTCACTGACCATAGACAGCACTTCCACATGGATCCAAACCGATTCAGACAATTTTCCACATCCCAAATTTTCAAAAGAACATAAAAGAACTTCAGTCTTCATGCCAAAGTGAAAATCCTTCACCATTCACACCTTTGAAGAATGGGGCTCAACGTTAGGGAGCTTGGTTTCACGCTGCAAAACCACGGTGAAACGCATGACCAGCTGTGACCAGCTCTCTAGCATTTGGGATCAAAGGATGAAATAACGTTTGGATAGCTGGATGCTGCAGTGATGCGGGGCAACTGGGTCCTGATTGAAAAGTAGATTGTATCGTTTATCCTCTGGTAAACTAACATAGCTATTGAACATAGCCATAGAAATAGTGAGTTTTCCCATTAAAAGTGGTGATTTTCCAGTTCGTTCTGTAAACGTTTACCAGTTCGGGTATATTATACACATAATATATTATACACAGATTATGTTACACAATCTATTAACACACATCATATACCCTCCAGTAAACTAACATAACTATGGAAAGATCCACCATGTTTAATGGGAAAATCCACTATTTCAATGGGCCATGGCTTCAATAACTATTTTGACATAATCAGAGGGTACATCATATTATACACATAGAGGGTTCCATAAATGGGGGTACCCCTAGTCATCATCCATTTAAAGATGGATTGTCCATGAAATAAACCATCCATAAATGGGAGTACCCCCGTTTATGGAAACCCCCACATAATATAAAAGTTCATGTTGATTCCATCAAGTAAATCTCGGGACACCACCGAGGTCACCCTCCGGCCCTGGAACGGAATCGTCCCACCAGATCCACGGGCGATCCACCGGGCCACGGAGGACACCAAACTGGGAATCCGCAAAGGCGCTGGCACGACTTCGGATAACCTCGGTTTTTGGCAACTTTTACGAAC